GCTCGAACCGAACGTGTGACCCCACCAATGGATTCCTCGTTCGGAGAGCAATCCATTGGTGGGGTCACACGTTCCGTTTGAGTCCCATTTATAGACTCTGGAGAAACGCGTCCGGGGCTTTGACCGCCACCGGTGCTCTGGCCCATGCGCCACTCGCGAAGTTGCCTACGCTATCCTCATTCGCAATGCAGGTTGCTGATCGTTCCGCTGCGCTGCCACCCTTTCCGCTGCCGGCCTGCGCGGGTTTACAGCCACTATAAATTTGAGTGCGACAGTCCAGTCCAGCCAGGGCGGCAGTGGCGGCGCGGAGGCGGTGGGCGGCGGGGGCGGGAGGCGATAAGCACCGCGGTGGGCGAGGCAGCGCCGCGGGGGACGATAGCCACACCCGTCCCCGTCAATCCGTCAGTCCGTCCGCGGGCAGCGCGATCAGAATAACCGTAGGGCGCAGTATCTCACGCGAGCGCCGCCGTTAGCACTAAACGCAATTTTGAAATGACGTCACAGCCAAAACCCACCCTGCTCTGCGCGCCTCGCACCCCTCGCCTTTGCCGGTGGCTGGGACGCCTATGGATTGGCCGCGTGCGCCGCGTGCGGACGACCCAGAACGACCATCCCCTCCACGCACGGCTCGGCCACGGCCACGGCCCGCCACCGCCACCGCGCGGCGAGGCGCGTGGCGCGCGAAAACCCCGGCAGAGGGCGCTGCGCGAGGCGTGCGTGCACACAAAGTGGCCCAAAATGGATCCGCATAAATTCTGGACGATCCCCTGGGTGAGGCCGGGCCGGGCCCTCGGCCGGGCTGGGCCAGGCAGCAGGCTGATTCCGAGAGTCGCTTGCGTCTCTCTCGCACTCGTGGGGCGTTCTCTGCAGGTGCGAGGGAGACAGAGCGACGACTCTCGGAATCAGTCTGCAGGTGAGCAGGCGGGCAGCAGCAGGCGGCGGAGTCCGCGCGCGCGGCTGTCATATTACAGGGGGCGGTTTGCGCTGTAAACAACCCCCCTCCCCTCCCTCCCCTCCGACGCCTCGCTGCGCCAGGGATTACGTTAAAGCCGCCCACCGGCAGAGGCCGCGCCGCCGACAGTCAAATTATATCACGGCCGCGCGCGTCGATGTGTCAGTGTCATCGGGGGGCGGGGGAAATGCAACGTAGTAAATCTGCCCCGCGGTTCGTCGCTCTGTCTCTCTCGCACCTATGCGGGGCGCCCCATGAGTGCGAGAGAGAGAGACGCGGGGCACTGATAGCGGCGCCTGGCCGGCCCTAACAGTGTGGGGCCGCGCGACGTGGACGACGTGGACGTGCCGCACCGGAGCCATGGCGGAGCCCCGGACCCATTTATGGCGAAACTTGGTGGACTGCCAGATAAAACAGACGGACGGACGGACGGACAGACAAGCGGCCGGCCGGACTCGGAATGGGACACCAAGAATGTATTGCGGTTGAGTCGTCGAGTACGTGACGCCGCCGGCCTCGCCTCGCCTCGCCTCGCCAGCAATGCGAACGACGGCGGCCTCGGCGGCTCGGCGGCACAAATTCGCGAGACGGAGGCACAATGATGATGAGGCTCAGACACGCCCTCGCCTCGGAGCCTCGCGCTGCAGCGAGCCATGCCTCTCTCTCTCTCTCTCTCGCACCCCCACGGAAGGGCCAGTGAGAGCGAGAGAGACAGAGAAAGAGGGCACGTCAAGTAGGCACCCACGCAGCGCAGCGACGCAGCAGCGCCGCGGGATTCGGCCGGCGACATGCCGCCTCATTTAGCCTCGCCAGGCCCAGGCCCCACGGCACGGCCACGGCCCTTTCCTTGTTATCCAATTCGGTTCCATCTTTGCCCGCTTGGCCCGGCTCGGCCTGGCTCGGCTTGGCCGGGCCCAGCTTTGCCTTTCGCTCCCCCGTCCCCCTCCACCGCCTTTAATTGCGAAACCCGCTGCCTTTTGTCAAACTGGTGGCCCCTTTGTCCGCGGCGTGCGCCTTCCCTCCTTTTGCCTTTCGCGTGTGCCGTCGGTGCCGTCGGTGCCCGCCGTCGTGCTTTGCCGCCGTTTGCTACCGCCACTGCATATTTAGTGCGAGCCCCCCCCCCTCCCTCCGGGCCGTCCTAATCCATGCATGCCAGCCGGAGGATGGAACGCGGCAACGGGGCAACGCGAGGGGCGGAGAATTCAGCACCAGCAGCGCCAGGAGTGCCCCAGTCGCTCTGTCTCTCTCGCCCTCATGGGACGATGGTCGGGGTGCAAGAGAGACAGACAGGCTGCAGGGGCGAGGGAGGGAGGCGGGTGGCGGGGCTCTGAGTCTAGTTGGAGCAAGCCGCCGCCGTGCCGGGCCGGGCCAGGCCGCCACCCGCAAGAAAGTTAGGGCCGGTGAAGCGCGGCCAGCACGGCCAGCACGGCCCCGCATCCCCGCGATCCACTTCATCAAGGCGGCCAGCACACTGAGAGTCGCTTTCGTCGCTCTGTCTCTCTCGCACCTGTATCGGACGCCCCATGAGTGCGAGAGAGACAGAGCGACGAAAACGACTCTCAGTGTGCAGGGCAGAAAGGAAGCGGCCAAGCATGGCCTGCAGCGCGCTCGGCCAGCTGGAGCCATTCCTAAGTAAAGAGCCATTTCGTCTCGTAGTCTCGTCGCCCTGTCTCTCTCGCACCCCCCGCGGGTGGGCCGCTCTTCGGCCCATTCATCGCGCGAGGTTCGAGGCGCGGAGTTTGGAAACAAGGAAGGAGAGCAAGGGTTGAAAGCGAGCGGTACAAAGCGTTGCGCCATTCATCGCCCGAGGAGAGAGAAAGGGCACTCTGTCTCTCTCGCACCCAACGCCCAATGAGTGCGAGAGAGACAGGGCGACTGAAAAAGCTCTCGGAATGAGTCTGCAGCCACCCTTTGCAGCGTGGTGGTGCGCGGGGCGGGGCGGGGCGCGGGGACCTTCGGGCTCCACGGGAGAACAGTCAGTAGTAATAAGGGCCGAGCCCAGCAGGGCAAAGGTTACCGCCCTGCCGCCGCAATAGCCCTGCCACCCTACCGCCGCCGCCACGCCCCCGCTGGCAGTGCTGGCCCTCTTTTCGGACCGCCAGGGCGGCCAGGGCCTCGCCCGGGGCGGCCAGGCCACACAAGGGGAAAATTACCGCCGCATGCGTCGTTTCGTCGCTCTCTCGCTCTCACTCTCACACACCCCTCGCGGATCGCCTCGTCCCTTGAGTGCGACAGAGACGGAGCGACTCGACGGCGCGAGGCTTTCGCCCTTCACCCGAATCTCCATATGAACAGACGAACGGAATTGGTTTGCCATGCGGCACAGATGGGACTAGAAACGAACGTGTGACCCCACCAATGGATTCCTCGTTCGGAGAGCAATCCATTGGTGGGATCACACGTTCGGTTCGAGTCCTATTTAGCGACTCTGGAGCTGGAACGCGTCTAGAATTTTGTCCACCTCCACCGGTCTTCTGGCCCACTGTGCCGCCTGGGCGGCCTACAGGAGCGCGCGCCGCAGCGATAGCGCGATAGCATCTCGGGCGTTCCGCCGCGTTCCGTGTTCCGCCGCCCCCACAAGGAGGGCGCCATCATCGCGCGAGGTTAAAAATGGATAGCGTGGAGTGCGCGGTGCGCGGCGGTGCGGCCAGGGGCTTGTTCTTCGTTAGCAGCAGACTTCTTCCGCGCAGCGTCTCGTCGCGCCGTCTCCCTAGAGAGCGAGAGAGACGGAGCGGTTGCAGCCGCCACGCTGTGTGCCGTGTCCGGCCGGCGCCGTGAATGTCTGAGCGAGTGCACACAGTGTGCCCACGCCGCCGGCCGCCGCTCCACTCCGCGCTCCGGTCTCCAGTCACTCCAGCATCCGCTCCAGATTCCCCACCGCGCCTCACGCCGGCGTCCTGCTGCAGGTGACTGGCCGCGCGCCGCGGCCAGCACTGATTCCGAGAGTCGTTTTCGTCGCTGTCTCCCTCGCACCTGTGCGGGACGCCGCAGGAGTGCGAGAGAGACAGAGCAACGAAAACGACTCTCGGAACCAGTCTGCAGCCGCGACGTCGCAGCCTCCCCTCCTCCTCCTCTCTCTTTTATGCACAACTTTGGGATTGGGATGGGAAAATGGCTAGGACGCGCGCTCTCTTCTTATTTTGGACGCAAGTTCGGATAAGAAAATGGATGAGATGCTTAGCGGCGCACCTGTCGGGGAAGAGGAGGGGGCGGAGGCGACCCGGCTTGGAAAAAGACAGAGTGTGTGCGCGAGGAGGCGCACGGCGGACTTGGAGAGCACCAGGTTCACGACGGCGAGCCGTGCCGATGCCGAGCCGGGCGTGCGTGCGGCGAGACGAGCGCGCGTCTGCAGTGGTCTGCAGTCCGCCCGGCCCGGCGGCACCGCGGTCTGGTATCCCGCTGTGTTGACGGCCCGTGTTGTTTCTCTGTTTTTCCAACGCGCCAGCGCCAAAGCCCTTCCCTTTTGTAGGGTGGTCGCGAGGCCAGGCGGCCAGGCCGCGCTGGCAGCCAGCACGCGGCGAGGGGAGGCCGCCCTCCACCCCACGGCGAGGCAGGCGAGGCGGGCCAAGCCACCCTCGGTGGCAGGCAGGCCCAGGGGGTGAGGGGGTGGTGCGCGCGGGGGTGGGGGTGGGGGCCGCGGCCTGGCTCGCGGAGCAGCGTCTGCTGCCCGAGCCGCGGAGTGCACGGACTGCGAGGGGCCTCTAACCTCACTTCGGGCCGCTTTGGCGGCTGTGCTCGGGTACCATCTGCGCTACCTGTGCGTGCGGCGTGCGGCGCGGCGCTGCGCGGCCCGCGGCTGGGTTCGCGAGGTCCGCGCTGTCACAATGACAGGTGCCGCGCCACGCCCCCCGCCAGCCCCGCCCTCCCCGCCACCCCCCGCAGACCGCCGCAGCGTACCGCAGCACCGTCAGGCCGTCACGGGGTCTTCTCGCGAGTCCAAGGACCGCCCTCGGCGACGGCGACACGGCATGCGGCGACACGGCACTGCCGTGCCCGCCGTGCCGCCGTGCCTCGCCGAATCGATGGCGTGTGCGTGTGTTGTACTCACGCTGCGATGCTCCGGGACAGCGGCCAGCGCTCCATCGTCGCCTGGTACTTCATGTTCTCGATCTGCTTCTTCAACGCGTCCTTGTCCATGGCGGCGAGAGTACTGGGGTCCATGGGGAACGGTAGCGAATCGCGCGAGGCGCGGCGCGGCGACGGCGGGGTGGGGGAGGCGTGCGGGGAGCGGCGCGCGTGCGCACGGCTCGGCACTCGCGCTCGGCGCCGCTCGGCTCGGCGTCGGCGTCGCTTCGGCTGCCCACGACAAACGCTCCCCGCGTACCGCGCCACGCGTCACCTGCAACACAACGGGAAAGAACGAACCGGCATGAGACGGGGTGGGGCGGGCGGGGCGACGGTGGGGTTACACTAGTGAACACGGGTAGCTTCGCGGGGTGGGGGCGGCGCGGGGGCGGGGTGGTGGTCGAGGGCGCTAGCGCCTCCAGGCGGCCTCACGCTGCCCCAGGCCTAGGGCGAGGCGGGCGAGGCGGCGCGCCAGGAGGTCATTCTAGCCCCGCGGACGAAGCGAAGGGCCCAAAGACCGAGGGGCCCAAAGACCGAAGGGCCTTCCATCGTCGTGATCCCGGCACCCCTATCGACGACACCGGGGGCGGGGGCGACGGGGACCTCGACGGGGACCTCGACGGGGACACACAGGCCGAGGGCTGTGGACGCAACGAAAGCGAAGCACGAGGTGACTCCGCTCGGTGCGCCGTCGCTCTGCCTCCCTCGCGCCCGCACGAGCCGCGCCATAAGTGCAAGGGAAACAAAGCGACGAAAACCACCGTTCGGAGTCAGCCCTTGCAGCGCCGGAAATACGAAAAGGGCGGCGGAAATTGAAAGTGACTCTTCGGCTGGCTCGGCGCTGTGCGCGAGGCTGCGCGTCGCGATGCGAGGCCGCGAGGCCGCGAGGCCCAGAGGAAAGGGGGCATGCAGTAAGAACGCGAGCAGAGCGCCGCGTGTCGGCAAAGAAACTATTTGACAGTGGCGGAGCTGGCCAAGTTACCCCCCGGAGAACTACTGTACAACATCGCCCTCATTGTGAACGAAGCATATTGTCTGCGCTCGTGACGGTGGTGCTCGGTGCGCCACGCCACGCCACGCCAGGCAGGCGGTGCGAGCAAAGTTTTGACGCGCCCTCCCCTTCCTCCCCACCCCCTTCTCCGCCCCCGCGACGATCAGTTTTCCAAACGCGTACATGCCGTGCGTGTGCTCCATGCCCCGTGCCGCCGCCGCCGCTCCGCCGCCCGGGAGACACAGCAGACCGATTCCGAGAGTCGTTTTCTTCTCTCTCTCTCTCTCTCTCGCACTCATGGGGCGTGCCCCTGTAGGTGCGAGAGAGACGGAGCGACACAAACGACTCTCGCGGAGGAATCAGTCTGCAGGATCCCGATGTGGAGGCGGCGCGGCGAGACGACGTGTGTGTTTACACGTTGGTACGCCTGTGCTAATGCAGGCCCCCGTTTCCGCTCCCTGCCCCTTTCCTTCAGCACACGCACACACACACACACACACACACACAGGCACAGGCACACACACACACACACACAGGCACACTCTCTCGCACACGCACAAAAAGAAAGAGGCTAGAGCGCCATCATCGTACTCTGCCAAGGAAACGGGACGCGACCGCCAACGTCGGCTGTAATCCTTTTCCTAGGCTTAATTGGCGACGGGCTCGCAGGCGGCGTGTAGCTACGCGGGGCTGACTCCGAGAGTCGTTTTCGTCGCTCTGTCTCTCTCGCACCTAGGGGGGGCGGCCCATGAGTGCGAGAGAGACAGAGCGACGAAAACGACTCTCGGAGTCGCTGCCTGGCGGCGGGCTGACTGCCCGGACGACGCCGATCTAACGGAGACGTAACGGCGGCCAGAAACGACTGTCCACTTCCGCCGCTCGAGCGCTGGTCTCGTACTGGCTGACTGATCGGGCTGGACACACACACACACACACACACACACACACACACACACACACACACACACACACGCACACACGCGCGCGCCGTACAGGAAGGAATATCGCGGAGACACTTGTTTACAAATAAACCGGGGTGACGGCGGGACGGCGTGACCCGGGACGCTTTTAAACCGCGCGACGACGGCCTTCCCCGCGGGGCCACAACGCCACAACGCGACGTGTTGCTCTGTCTCTCTCGCTCTGTTTCGCTCGACTTTCATGAGGTGCGAGAGAGGCAGAGCGACGTGGTACCGTACCTCTGCAGCGTCACTCCGGCGTACGCCTGTCACGGACTGCTCCTCGTCACGAAGCACGCGCAGCCGTCACAGGCCGTCACAGGCCGCCACTGCACCGCGGGCCGCACATGCAAACGCCCCCCACGTATCCGCGGTATCCACCGGACTGGCCGTCGGCGGCGTCCGGCGTCACGTCACTGCCGCCTCTCGACCGGCCGCCCCGACGCGTCACGTGACCGTCAGGCCGTAAGGTGAGCCGCCAACGACCGGACGACGGCCGGAGGGGTGAGTGATGAAGAACCAATCAGACGGCCTGCACGGCGAGGGCGGGCACGGCGGTGCGGCGGGCCGACGGCGCCTCGCCCGGCCGGCACGAGGGGGGCATCCTGCACACGCCGAGGAAGCGGACGACGAGGACGACGAGAACCTACGGACACGCCAAGGGCCGCGTCGACCGACTGACTGAGGAAGCGAGCCGCAAGCCGCACGCAATGTGTGCACTGCCCCGTGAGGGACTGGCTGGCCGGCTGGCCGGCGCGGGGCCGCGGGGCACCCGGAGGGGCTGCCCGGAGGGGCTGCGGGGGCTCCGGGGGGCTTCGCGGGGCTCAAGGGGCGCAATCGATGTGTGGCTCCTCCTCCTTGGCGTCCCGCCTCAGCAATACGATACGCACGCCACGCGACATCCCGCGGCCAAACGAATTTCATTTTTTTTTTAAATTATTTTTTTACCTATTGGGTGAGGGGCGGGGGTTGAGAAAACAACACGAGAAAATATTCCAGCAGCGCCACCGCTTGTGGATTTTCCGCCCGAGCGCGGTGAAATACGAGATGAGGATATCCGGACAGGACTATTGACAAGCCTAACACCGGGGGCGTTCATTCGTCCATTTATGCCCCTCGGGGAAAGCAAACGGTGCCCCTTTTTTTGTGTCGGGGGCGGAGAAAAATGAGAAAACAATTATTGACTGTACTGAACGGGTGGGCGGGCTGGCGCTTGGGCTGGCGGACGTCCGGGCATAGACAGCCTGTCGAAATTCCCCGCCCTGCGGACAGTACACTCCCGGGTCGGAGCCAGAGTCTTATTTTCGTCTTTTCTTCGGCTTATTTGGTTTCCACATAGAGTCCGTTTGAAGCGCGGCAGAAGACAAGAGCAATGGTCATTCAAGGCGCGCGCAAGGGTTAAACGAGGCGAAACAAAGGTTGAGAGCAGGCGAAAAAAAGACGCTGCGCAAGCTTATCTTTTTCGTCTTGAAATTGTCTCTATCGCGTTTTGATTTAGGCTTGCGGAAGCCGAAAAGAAGGCGAAAAAAAGACGAAAAGAAGACTCGTACGACCCCGGCAGAAGAGCCGAAAAAAAGACGAGATTGAGCGCCGCCGGCCTCCGGTCGGCAAAAGAGGTGGTGGGGGGCCAGCGACCGCACTGGCGAAAAGTAAACACAGCCTGCGCTTCGACGCAGCGTCGAACTATGAACCATGAGACTCGAAATCGGTGCCGCAAGCCGCTGGGCCAGGGCGACTTGTTGGAGGTTGGCTGTCTGAGCTTGAGTCCTGTCTCACGCTGCCGCGGCGGCTGGCTGTTGACGACAAACTCGACGGCTGTGTGGTGTGACGGTTCAATACCATTCATTCACTCATCGTCCGATCATTCAATGCGTATGATTTCGCTAAACGGTGATAGAGAGACAAACGTAAAGGCGATACAAAAAATTAAGAAGTGTAAAATAATATTAACCGACACACCACACAGCCGTCGAGTTTGTCGTCAACAGCCAGCCGCCGCGGCAGCGTGAGACAGGACTCAAGCTCAGACACCCAACCTCCAACAAGTCGCCCTGGCCCAGCGGCTTGCGGCACCGATTTCCGAGTCTCATGGTCATAGTTCGACGCTGCGTCGAAGCGCAGGCTGTGTTTACTTTTCGCCAGTGCGGTCGCTGGCCCCACCACCCCTCTTTCCCGACCGGAGGCCGGCGGCGCTCAATCTCTTTTTTTTCGGCTCTTCACCGGGCTCGTACGAGTCTTCTTGTTTCTTTTTCGCCTTCTTTTCGGCTTCCGCAAGCCTAAATCAAAACGCGATAGAGACAATTTCAAGACGAAAAAGATAAGCTTGCGCAGCGTCTTTTTTTCGCCTGCTCTCAACCTTTGTTTCGCCTCGTTTAACCCTTGCGCGCGCCTTGAATGACCATTGCTCTTGTCTTCTGCCGCGCTTCAAACGGACTCTATGTGGAAACCAAATAAGCCGAAGTAAAGACGAAAATAAGACTCCGGCTCCGACCCGGGCTGTGCGGCACGTGCACGACGTGCACCGCACGGGGAGTCGTTTGTCCCGACATGACATCGCGAGCGCGCGCGAGCGGCATGTCACCTGGACAAAGGCTGGAGGGAGAGGGAGGGATCGGAGAGAATTGGAGTCTAAAAGTGGAGTCCGAGCCATCGATCCGCATCGGTGTCCACTGCAGCGTTTCTGCAAGCCTGCGCAGATTCGAAAAAAAAAATAATCTACTTATTTTTTTTGTTGCCAGGAACGCATGCTGGCCCTACAGTGAACACGAATGCAAGCTTGTGTGCGGCGCGCCATTTGCATATACATATTCGCGAGAAGTGTACATTACATAATTAATCACCCTCGCCGAGCCGAACGATGGATGATTCCCACTGGCGGTGCCCCCAGCGTCCGCTGCCCGCTGACCCTTCCAGCCCCTCCGAGCTCGCCAGCGACCGCAGCTCTGCGGCGTCTTGACTGACGCACCGACATCATGGAGGTGGGGGCGGCCTGCCGTACCCGGGACGTGGCCGCCGGCCGTCGGTCACAACTCGCTTACTTACTCTCCCCTATTGGCTGCGGTGCGTCTGGCGCTGGAGTGACGCGGGAGTGACGCAGGGGTGACACAGGGGTGACACAGGGGTGACACGGGGTGACTCGGACGGGATGAGCGGTGCTCCTCCGGTGTCGAGCAAGCGACGCGGACTGCAGCACACAGGGATTGCAGGCTGCCGATGGGGCGCCATGGGCGGGGCGGGGCGAGGCGGGGCGAGGCGGGGCGGCAGGGCGGGGCGGGGCGGGTATCGAGTTGATGGAGGCCGACTTGTCGCTTTCCATTACATTTCACCTGCTGCAGCCGACAGCAGACACTCCACCTGCACCCCCCGCGCTCCTCAGCCCCCTCAGCCCTCGACCGGCCCGCATCCCCACCGCGCCCCCACTGGCGCCACACTGCCAGAACCGGAGGGACCGGAGGGACCGGAGGTCCAGCAGCCGGGGAGCCGGAGAGCCGTGGCAGGCGACAAGCGGGCCTCCACAAGTCGACCTGTGGCGTGGCCCGTCGCACTGCCCCTGTCCGATCTGCGATACACTGGCGTCTGATCCGCGCCACCCTGACCGCCTTGCAGCGGCCGCGGTCCACAGCAGTGTAGTCGTCGTACGCGACCAGGTCGAATTTAACGCGGCCATATGGACAGACAGTCCGTTGCCTCTGCGAGTGGGAGTGCGACAGCGCGTGGCGCTTCGCAGAAAGCCGTCTCTCCTCGTCCTTTTGCATTAGGGACTAGGGCGCCGCGGCCGAGAGCGCCGAGAGGGCGGAGCGCTGGGAGGGGGAGGAAGGGCATCGGGAACACGAAACGAAACACGCAGTCGGTCGTCCCTGCGCGCCGCTCTGTTTGGACGGGACTCGCCACGCACGCGCGGTCCCAAAGGGCTGCCGGACGCAATTAGAACAGGACCGTCAAAATTCCAGTGTCAAAGTGTCAAATTTTTCACTCATTAAATTTATTTTTATTTTAGATTTTGACGCTGGGTGCGTGGATTTGAACCGGCGGCGCCGGCAGGGCGGGCCTGCTGCTGGCGCTGGCTGGTTCCGTACGGTGCTCCGTCTCTCTCGCACTCTTGGGGCGTCCCGGCGGCCCGTTGGGGTGCGAGAGAGACAGAGCGACGAGGCGAAGTGAGCGCCCCGCCCCCACCTCGGTAATAATGAAGGACGGAGGGTCGATTCGCCCCACCTGCCTCAGTGAGAGCGTCATCACGTGTCGCGGTGTCGCGGGACGGCCTCCACGGCCTCCAGGGCCTCGGCGGCCTCCTCGGCGAACATGGAAGCAGGCACGCGGAGCAAGAACACGCGAAACCGGGAGGCCAGGCCGCCTCGGGGGGAGGAGGAGGGGAGCGCCGTGCGTCGCGCCACTGGCAACCTGCGGACGCGGCGGAGGAGCGGGTTGCCTATCCTGCCGTCTGCGGGCGGACGGCGAGGCCGACGGAGGGCGTGGGCCACAGTGGGCCAGAAGACCGGTGGAGGCCGCCAAAATTCAAGACGCGTTTTGAGCTCCAGAGTGGCTAAATGGGACTCGAACCGAACGTGTGACCCCACCAATGGATTCCTCGTTCGGAGAGCAATGGATTGGTGGGGTCACACGTTTGGTTCGAGTCCTGTTTAGCAACTCTGGAGCTCAAAAAGTGTCTAGAATTTTGGCCACCTCCACTGGTCTTCTGGCCCTCTGTAGGGCGGGGCTCTCGAGGGTCTCGCGGGGGCGGGCCGAGTCTCAGGCCGAGCCTCAGGCCGGCCGCGGCGCTGGTTTATAACACGGCAGCGCGGCGCCCCCTTATTATTGTTGTTATTTATTATTTGTATCCGCTTTCCCGCCGTCGGCCGCAGCCCCAAATGTGGACGGCACCCCCCGCGGCGCTGCCCCGCGCTGCCCGGTGCTGCCCCTTCGGAGGCCGGCCAGACCGAGCTGTCAGCGGCGAAGCCAGGCGAAGCCCCGCCACGACAAGACGGGGCAGTGTGCAATTACCACACGGCCCCACGGTCCCTCGAGAGGCGTGGGCCGCGCCAGCCGAGCACTGCTTGCCGCTCTCGGAAAACGCTGTTTATTGTGTTGTTGACGCCGGCCGCGGACGAGTCCTGCAGGACGGCGACGACGTCCACGACGCCAGCAGGCCGCCGACGTCACACGACGCCGGCGGCGGACGGCCGCTGGCACGGCGCCATGTAGAACGGCATTGACGGCGTGGTGCTGGAGACGCCGCCCGGCACCCGGCGGCACCGCTGCACGCCGGTGCAGCACTCGGGGAACGGGTGCGCGCCCCGGGCCCTGCGGCGCGGGGGGTCGTGGAGGCCATCAGGCACTACAGTGGGCCAGAAGACCGGTGGAGGCGGCGAAAACTCTGGGCGCGTTTGGAGTTTTGGCCGCCTCCATCGGTCTTCTGGTCCACTGTGCGGACGAGCAACCCTTTCCGACGCGACAGTGTACCTGTCCGGCACGCGCAGCACTGGTGGGCTCTCCAGGGGCAGCTCCGGCACGATGGGCAGGCGGTCGCGGCACGCGTCCAGCGGGTACTCGCCCATCAGCACGTTCGGCGTCACCAGGATCTGCTGGCCGCGGAGGTGCTGGTCGTTGAGGATCTTGTTGTTGCCGTGCAGCTTGGAGGAGAAGAGCCTGGCGCAGAACCGCAGAACGCGCGCAGTCAAGGAATGGGCGGAACCGCAACCGGGGGATTTTTGCTTACTTTAAGTGCATTATGGCTCGCAGTGCAGGCTACCTGCAGACGGCCCGCCGGCTGGTCTCCCTGTGCGAGGCGCAGGGCACGTGGAAGTGCGCCCGGTGGGTGGTGGTGGGCTTGGCGCGCTCAGAGGCCCTCTCGGCCGCCCAGCGGGCTGCCATCAGCTCCTTCAGCCCGTACTGGGTCAAGTTGCCCTGCGCCGACACAGTGTGCCGCCAACACAGCACGCCGTCAAGTGACACCGCCAAAACACGCGCCGTGAGTCCACGCCCCGGTCCGCGCCGTGTCCCTCACAATGCAGGGCAGCAGGTCCTGCGACGGCAGCCACTCCAAGTGCCTCGAGTTGAAGGCGCGCGACTTGGGGCACACTTGCGGCATCCAGTGGTGCATCAGGTCGGTGGTGGTCGTAAAGTTCTCCCGGCACTTGGGGCCGCTCGCCTCCATCAGGATGGCGCGGTGGACGCCCTGCCCGAGCCGAGGCAGCCAAGGCAGCGAGAGCAAGATGGATGATGGCATGGAATGAATAACTGGGGAAGGGCGCCGAGCGCGAGCGAGCGTAAAACTTGGGGCTGCCGAGTGCGATGCCGAAGGATCGTTTCGTCTTCGTCGCTCTGTCTCTATCGCACTCACGGGGCGTGCCGTAGGGCCCGTAGGGGCGCGAGAGAGACAGAGCGACGAAACGATCCTGCGGACATGGCTAAGCCGTCGGCCCCAGCCTGCCCGGCCCCACCTCGCTGCTGGCCCGGTGCTCCCAGGCGGCCTGCGACGCGTAGTCGTCCAGGTACACGCCGGGGGTGGTGAGGCTGGGCCTCTTGAACGAGGTCGTGTAGATGGAGCAGCCGCGGAAGGGCGGCAGGCACGGCTTGGTCTTCTCGATGCGCCGGTCGCGCCACATGCCCTCCAGGACGCCGTCATTGTACCGCGGCTCCGTCACCACCAAGTCCCTCGTCTGCTCCCTGTGAGCGGCCAACGTGTCACTTCTAGGGAACGCGCTCGGAGAGAGCCCTCAGCAGACTCATTTCCGAGAGTCGTTTTCGTCGCTGTCTCTCTCGAGCTCATGAGGCGCCACGTGCAGGTGCGAGAGAAACAGAGCGACGAAAACGACTTCCGGAATCAGAGTACGGCCCCTCGTACTTGACGGGGATGGCGGGAATCGAGTCCGCGATGCTGGTTCTGGTGGACATGGTTGACGGTGTGCGGGTCAGCTAGCGGGCACGGCGATGGCGGTCGCGATGGGGTGTCCGACGACGCAGCCCGTCAACGCCATGGTGCCTCCTCCACCTCCGCACCCCCAGCCCATGCAGCCTATGCAGCAGGCTGGCTGTGGGCCGACTGCCAATAATGAGGTGGACGTGGGGAAGGCCAGGGACAGCCAGGGAGGGCAACAATCCACCACCATCTTTCTTTCTTCACTTCACTCTGGTTCACTTCACTACATCCCCGAGCGACCGTCATCCCTTCCCAGGAGCTGGAACGGGAATGAATGATGGACAGCCGATATATGCAAGTATCAACAGACAGATTTATTGATTAATATTCATTCAGTTCACCAACACACCACTCCGAAATCACAAGTAAACATAGGGCCTAAATCAAGAATCACATCATCGCTTTCTCTCCGTTTTCCACCGATACACAGGGGGTGCATCTTTAGTTGCAGGCTTTATCCTTTCTGGTTTTGATTCGGTCTTGATGAGTAAATTCTTTTTCAGGAGCATCTTCTCTTGAATGATGCGTAGCTGTTTCTCTCGTTCCAGACGTTTGGCCAGCACTGCATACTTCTGTGCCTTCTGTCTTTGAGCCTTTTCTAGAGCAGCTGTAAAATTGTGAAATGTTAATTAAAATATAACAGAAAAGTAAAAAAAAAACATTACTCAGGTGAGATTTTTGTTTTTCTTTTGGAAAAGAGAGCGGGAAGAAACAAGAAATATTGCACACCTTTGTCAATAGTAGGCAAAGTAGCAGATTTAAGAGTTTCCAACTTCATACGATTGGTGCGCCTCCCCATAAGTGCTGGGTGCGTCCCTAGCCGAGATGCAACATCAAAGTTGAGAACTTCTTTTGGATCATCAACAAAGAAAGTGTGAGAGTTGGTAACCTGCAAGCAAATCATTAGTTAAAATTGAGCACAGTAAATTATTATACTACAAGACTAAAAAATTCTCCTCCGTACCTCTTCTGCAGCATCTAACATATGAAGCTCTGCTTTAAGCCGTTCAATTTTGCGTTTTTCAGAAGTGAGTTTCATTGTAACATACTGGATGTCTTGGGTTTGCATCATTTTTATTTGATCAGGAGTGTGCTCATCCTGTGAAAAAAAAAAAAAAAAAAAATTAAGCATTAAAAAGCAAGTACAAAAAATTCAAATAATAAAGATGGAAAGCCAGCCACCTCTTTTTCTTTCTCAAAATGCTCCCCATCTTCAGTTTTGGAATTGATCATATGAAAGTAAAATTCATCTGGATTACGATTGAGAGCCCTCTTCCTGAGAAGGCGCAGTGTTTTCTGCTTTTCATTAAAATCATCTGCTCGAGTTTTGTAATCCTTCTTTTTTTCTAAAAGACCCAAATGTGAGCGAGCTTCAGGTTGATGTCGTTCTCTGTGGGTCTTTTGATTCGACTTGGACACTGACTTCCAAGACGACATGGTGACGGATAGCTAAGGACCCTGCAAAAAGAGAAAAAAGGTACAACAGTGAATAACAGAGTCATAACTGGGTAACAACGGTAACAAATGGGATTTTCAATCACAAGAAAGAAATCTTAAGATAGTAGATACTTACAGAGAGGTTGAGAAGAAATGACACCACGTCTATGATGTAAACAAAGCAGGCAGGAGGGAGACAGTATCTTGCAGGGTACAGAAAAGAGAGCTTGTAAGCCAATGTTCTAGGTCAATCTAGAATGCGTAGATACGAAATTAAAATTTTGTGGCACACAATGTACTGAGGTTATGAAGTCGTCGTCCTCGTGTATCCCCCCTCCCCCTTCACACGTTTGTTTACATTTTTTGATATGACAATTTTCGATGGCGTTTGAACTGCCATAAGTTTTAGTACCATTCCATGATCAGTAGAATTAAACACACTATCTTACATCTGATTTTGAAAAAGCAGCAAAGATTCAGAAATAAAAGAATTCAATCACATGAAGTACTATTGGTTGACAGACACGCTTTGCCGAAAATCCGTTACTGTCAAAATTAGGTTTATGAATTTTTCATTTTTATCATACCAACACTCCGATACTATCAAAAATACCACAAAACTATTTGACGAGAGAGTATGGACAAGTTACATATGTTGCACTGCAAGAGGCAAAAATGCCCTTCAATTCAATTGAAAACACATGTAACACCTGAGACTGCCACTTTGAAGAGTATGACACTCACTTTAGAGCGTTCGGTGCGGTGCCGTTGTTATGGCCATACTTCATTGATGAATCAGTAATCACTCGCCTCCTAACCTGTAGAGTACGGTATTCCGTTGTCACGAATCATGGTAAGTTTTCCCTTGTTGATAGGTCTTTAATAGGTATTTCCACTCTTACTTTGTGTACCGACGTCGAATTTCATTTAACTGTTGCTTTTCTTTTCAGGCTTCATTCTCAGAGGACCAGCTGGCTGGTAAGTTAATCGAGGTCAACTTTGACGTTCCAGCTCCCCCCTGATGACACACCCCGAGCCGACTTCGCCTTATTTGGTCAAGAATTGTGTCTCATGGAGGGAGAGAGAAGAGATTTTGCCGCCGCGGGGAAGGGCTGGCGCGCGCCGCGTTATGGTGTAGTTAGAGTCCAGTCCGTACGTTAGACAGGGCCAGAGGTGTGTCCAAGTCGCGAGTTTGACAATCCAGACAAGCCGCCGAAATGTATGGCTATGAGGCAGTGAACAAAGTCATGACGTCGGTGGAAGGTTTGTAGCATTTCGGTTCTGCAATGCCAGGTGGTGCTCGTGTCTGCAGTGTGTCATGGGAATCGTTTCTGTACACATGTATCTCGTCCACGTAATATCTCAAGCAATGTTGTTGTAACTCTGAGGAACATTTTGTCTAGATTTCATCCACCTTGTAAAAGTGACTAATAGTTATTGTTTGTCCGAATTTTTTACAGAGTTCCAGGAAGCGTTCCAGCTTTTTGATAACCGGGGTGATGGCAAAATAAATGTTGGTCAAATCGGAGATGTGTTGCGTGCTTTGGGACAAAATCCCACAGAATCTGACGTAAAAAAATTCACCCATCAGCACAAACCAGGTTGTTATTTTGTTTCAAGCTTCACTTTTATTTGTTTTTTTATCTTTCAATTACTTATCCTCAGTCATTTACTCCTGTTGTTGCTTAATTTGTCAATAGATGAACGGATTTGCTTTGAAGTCTTCCTTCCTATCTACCAAGCTATCTCCAAAAGCCGCACTTCCGACACTGCTGATGACTTTATTGAGGGCCTGAGGCACTTTGACAAGGATGGCAGTGGTTTCATTTCATCTGCTGAACTGCGCCACCTGTTGTCAACCCTTGGTAAATGCCTTTGTCCTTTTGTGTGTCCATGGTCAAAATTTTATGATTGATTTTATTTGTAACTCATGTCGATATTTCCTTATTTACAGGAGAAAAACTGACTGATGATGAAGTGGAACAACTTCTGGCAGGCCAAGAAGACTCTCAAGGAAACATCAATTATGAGGAGTTTGTGCGGATGGTGATGTGTGGATGAATATCTTATTGCAGTGCATTATATGTCCCAAGGACGGGCTTTACGAGTAGATCTATTATTTAAGAATTTACTTTGATTAGGCAGCATTTCCAAATTTATTCACTCATGTGGGTTTCATGTACTTTAAAATTGTGAGTGCTGTTATATGAATGAGATGGTCTAGTTACCGTATTTGGAAGTATTATTTATATTTTTATTCATTGTTTTGTGATTGGTTGAAATCATTTGATTACTCTTAACTTGTGAGCAAGATCAAGTAATTTATGAAATCCTGTAAGGTTGTATAGATTTTGAGTGGGTGGGACCATATCCATTTTTTATGAGCCATTTTGAGCCCCATAGATTGGTGGGATACCATGATAGTGTACTTATTACTACTACCCTTTTTGTTTTTTTCCAATTCATGATCTTCCTCTTTTTTAAAAAATTTTACATTGTAAGGTGTTAGGAGTTCTCATTTCATGGGTTTGTATTAAGGTTGCATTTTTATTAATATTTTCTAATATTCTTGTATCTTCATTCCATACCATGTTGCTTTATCTTTTTTCCTACAGAATGTGCTTATTTTTAAGTTTGAGATGTAAAATTTGGGTCATTCATTAAATACTAAAACTTGTGTGGGTATATGTTTTTATTTCCTCCTATTTGCATATCACACATTCACTACAACTCACACTTACATTCGGAAATTTTAGTCATGTTTTCTCCCTCAACGATGAACAGATAATGTAATTATAAATGCTGCTCTTTAGAACAAAGCCGTGAAGAGGACCAGCCTTCTTGCAAGAAGCCATGTTAACACAAGAAGAGTAATAAACAGAAACAGAACAGAGGGTACTATGAAAAAAAAAACAATCTTATCAGTTACATCACAAAAAGGAGGAAGCTGCTCTCCTTGAATATAAAGGAAGCATGTTTCTTGGTCGATTCACCAATAAAATAATAATAATATGGATAAGTAGAAATATAAAGTTTAAAATAAGGAAAATTCTCAAAGACAAAATATTAAGAGATCATTTCTAAAAAGAAACAAAGACCAACATACAAATGTTAAGACATGTCATGTGACACAGGAAGTCCTAGTCCAGACACTCAAGCCTAGGTTTACTACTTCACACAAGAACAATACATAAAGGAATGCAGAGAATCAAGTCAGTCATTTACCAAGTCAAAGCAGTTAATGTTTGAGCTTATGAACATTTCAGCAAATATCTTGCATCTCATGACTGAAGAGAGAAGAAAGAAGGATTGACAGTGTTAGAATGCCTTAGTAAGGTCAAGTCCATACAAGTAAAATCTGGATCAATTTCTACACCTCTTTCAGTGACTTTTAAAAAATGACTACACTCAGTCTCAAGGGATCCATAAAACAAATTATGAAAAATACAAAACAGTCAAACATAAAAACAGAACATGCAAAATAATATCACACAAGGACGACACCAACAGCCTAGTCTAACACTCATGATATGATGATCACTCAAAAAAAAAAGCAGTAAAGCAGTAAAAATCACAGGTGGTTCAGGAATTATTTTACACTCATTTTCAACAAATTTAAGACTATAGCTTTCAAATTACAAAAACACAAACCATAACACTGTACAAAAATCAGTACAATGTTGTCTATCGAGATGAAAAATACTGTTCAGTGATAGTGAAATTACTATTATTAAAACTTAGTAGACAATAAAACCAGATGTTCAGGATTTTACAGGTAGAAATAGAGCTCATTATATTTAACATAAGTCAACATTCCTAAACATTTGATACGTACAATCCAATGATAACAATAATGATGGCACTGATTGCCTATGTCAGCACAAAAATACCCAAGCTACATATTCCCTAGCTGTAGTTTATAAAGATACATGGAAGGCATGAGTAAAACCCAAACAAGGGGTTGGCTAGCAAAACTAACTATACAATAGAACATTGATCTAGGTGGGAATCGATTCCCAAATAATTATATCATGGACACAATGGCCATACTGAGTAATGCTCCACAGGCTAATCCTATTCCTAGAAATGCTGACATTATAGAAGCAGCCATCTCTTGTTCATGATGCTCACAGGCCCTGTTTCAACAGGATGAAGAGTGGTGGTCAAGTTCCAGTTCAATGCAAATGATGGAGATCAAAACAGTCTACATGTAGGCACAAACACAATACTTACTTTGGGCCACTGATCATTGTAACGTTGACTACGTAACCATTGGTGAATCCAAATAGCACCACAATCAAAATGTAATACGCGTCCCCGTGAATCAACACCGGGAGATGTTGACGGGGTTGAGCATTGCAGTAGAGCAGCAAGGGGACAAAAATAATTCTGGCTGCTGACATGAGAAGCAATGCTCTTGCATTTTGTCTTGGCTAAACATTCCATTAAAGAAATTTATTAGCGATGTTAACACAAACTTTAATTCAGAAAATTTTACTACAATGCATGAAAGATGGCTTTACCCAAAGAAGCAGCCCTGAAAGCACTCTTCCCAGATAGTCAAACAAACTGAAAATCAGGTAGGCAACCACAGGAACAAAATATTTATCTGCAGGAAAAGGAACTATAATATTAGAAAAAGTCAATGAAACATTAAATATGAAATGAATTACCTCATTCTTACCGTTCCATTGGTTTCCGTGGCCTTTGTTTTCAGACTCAACAAGAACAGTGACCGCTGGATAAAACGATAGTGAAACAAAAAATGCCATCCATACCGCAAGTCCATGAACCCAGATCTATACAAACAAATAAGGGGGGAAAAATGGAGAAAACAATCAGAAAAAAATTAAAGAGTTTTGGTAAGGTTTCTGCAAATTGTAAATGATAAGACGATCTCTTTACAAATACTGACCTTGCTTAACACACGAGTATAGGACAAGGAAAACATGTCAACCTCTACTGATGGGGCACATCCATCAGCTTCATATTGAACTGACAGCTGTGGTCTGGGTGCCATGTGATATTTAAAGAAGACCTAAAAACGAACAATTCGTCAGAAAATTTCCTACCAAGAGAAAAGCAAGTTGAGACAACCAATTGAAACTTACTGCTCGAATGAGAACCAAGTAGCAGACAATAGATACAACAAGAAAAACATTGGCAACCATGAAGTACACAAAGGCACTGAGCTGAGGTGAAGCTCCAAGCCACAGTGACAATATTTCAGCTAGTGCCGCGAAAACACCACCTAGAGACTGACCACTACTTGCGGCAGATATGTAAGCAGCAGAGAACTTTCCGAGCATGCCAAATAATCCACCAGTCAACACGGCACTTGCAACTGAATCACAACAGATAAAGTAATCATGTTACATTAAGTGTCCACACATGAAAATATAATTTTACAGCAATTTACACTCACTGTTTAGGGCCACCACTATTGCCATGGTAAGGTAGAAAAAGTCATATTGCCCTGAAAAAAAAATGATGATGTTATAGTCGAAAGTAAGACCCTCTGTGAAACACTGTCAAATATTTCAATAATGTAAGAGACTGAAAGTTTTCTTACAAGCGTCAGTGTTGATATGAACAAACAGAGTTGTGACAACAAACAAAAGAAGGATCATTACAAATGATCCCAGCATGCGAGAGTGAAGAGATATCCTGGAAACAAAACCAGATTCAGGTATTTCCTCAACCAAGATAATTTTTTAATTAATGTAAGAGGTCCATATACATACTTGTGAGAGAGAGCAGAGTTTAAAATGAGAAAAACTGTACTGGGAACAGTTGATGCTACACTAAGATATGCTGTGAAGCTCTTTTGGAGAGGAGTTCGGCCCACTGTACCCACAGAGGAGTTGAGAAACATGGTAGTTGGTTCCGATGCATTGACATCTCGAAACTTGTACATCCAGTACTGGGAAAAAGAACAAAAAATTACAATTTTAGGGGAACTCAAGAATGAATGCCCCTGTGCTCATTTTTGAACAAAGCTTACATCATCTGCTGTGATGAAGAAATTCCATGGCAGCAAAGTCGTCATTCCAAGAAAATAAAATATAATGTATGCAAGGCTAAACCTGAAACAAACATTGAAAACATGTTGTTTAGGCAAGCGGAGGATGTAAAATCATGCACACAATAGAAACTAATTCTGCTACTACCTACAATGATTTATGAAACTAAAATGCAAGAATCACAAGGATACCTCCAGAATTTTCTAAAACAAATGGCTGTAAGGTAACTGATTGAAAAAAATTGCAAATGACAAACAGTAAAGAGAAACCAAATGGAGGCCAGATCCATGCTCAGAAGCGAATACATGAAGCCAGCGAACATATTAAAAATCTACCCCAACTCTACAACACCATTAAAAACACACTTACTTCTGGTCATCCTCCCTGAAAAATTCTTCACTTCTGTTCCCTTTCTTTCTATCCTCAGTCTCAGTCATCAAAATTTTCTTAGATTCCTACGCAGTTTAAAAATTTCAACTGGTGCTTTCTATTGGCTCAATCAATAAAGTTAAATCTGCAATAATGAAAACAGAGCATGCCTCCACTATATCGAGAGCATAAAAAAATTCTACAAAATTGTAAATAGTATAAGTTTAAATGATAAAACTGAGGATAAGAAAGAGCCCTAGTTTCTTCCAAAGAAATAAACAATGTATGGCATTTACAAAGTTTTACATAACTATATTATGGACATACCTGTCTTGAGGATCTCTGCCTTTGAACAATGGCTTTGTGTCTTTTGTAGTTACAACTGGGTCGTCCACCATATAAGTGGAAGGGGTGTCGTCCGACAAATTGCCATCAAAATCACTGTCAGAATCACCCTGTAAGAGTGGCTGGGTGTTGATGGAATCTTCCATTTTTCCACAGGGTATCTGAAATATTACTTTTCATATAAATAATCGTAACAGTCAAGGAACAGAGACATCAAAATAGATGCAAAACGGTTTAGCATCACAGGTTCAAACAATGTAAACAGAAATCCCTGAGGCAGTAGGTGATATTCTCTCAAAGAAACTCGCCTTTCAACTTGTTGAGAAGTCCGTGGTGTCGTGATAGTGCTCCTGAACCTCAGACTGACCACTGTGCGCTCTATTTCCAATGCAGACTCAACCCTATGATTCACCAAGAAGATGGCCTTGATTGCAAAGAAATTTGCATATTGTTTACACCTGGGGTTACGAAATCCATTTGCAGAAGATTAATGGGCCACCTTCTGCATTAGCTCGTCCTTGTCCCACAGCACTGGATATATCCATTGGGCACAAGTGGGTCACGGATCAAAAAACTTCGACGATTTCAGCAAATATGTAAGATATTCTTAGAAAAGTAATAGAATTTGAACCATCTGCCTGCTTTTCTGGCTTTTGTTTCTGCTGTCTGCTTGCATTCGATCCTCCCCCGTCCCCCCGCCCCTCCTCCCCCGTTTGCTTTTCTCCGCCGCCAAATGATTTTTCTGACAGAAGGTTCTGTCTAACTTTTTCCTAAAGATTTTTTTCTAAAAAGAAACCTTTTCAACCACACTAGTTTCTCGAAATAAATAGATAAATTTTACTTTCTAGTACAGTCCTCTCCCTCGTCTTCCTTCATCTAAAAGGCAGTGTCCGTTCGGCGTGATTTGAAGAAGGCAGTGATCCGCTCTGAACCTTCTTTCCGGTTCGACGTTGAAAGTGAGTGAGTTAGTGCAGAAAGCAAATTTTATCTTATTTCATCCTGTGATAAATTATTGTACGTAAAGGGCTGAGTTTTCTTTCGGTATCGTCCTGTTTCATACTATGCGTGTGAACTATTATTCCCTCACTGAGTGATGATGGTCACTTATAATGATGAGCCGAAAGTGCCCCTGTTGACTGTCCATGAGCGCTTTCTTCACGTTGTTATGGTTTAATGTTTCCTTATTCTGTAGTCTTGTTTCGCATTTTCAATTTTTTCTGTGTGCGAACGTAGTTTTGTTATGTTTAAGGGGTAACAATTAAGTTATCCTTGTCCTTTCATCATAGTTTTGTTTACTAACGGTCCCCCATAACCACGTACCAAACTTAACCTATCTCAAGGGCCTGGCAACGTATGCCGATTTTTATTTTGACTATGCTTTCTCGTAAATTTGCTGTGGAAGTGCAACTTGTTTTGTCTCGTTCCGTTTTGCCGTCGAGTAATGTGTTGGTGTCTCTGTTTGATTCAGATAATCCAAGATGGGGAAGATTATGAAACCGGGCAAAATCGTGCTGCTGCTCGGCGGCCGATTTGCTGGACGCAAAGCTGTAGTCGTCCGCAACTACGATGATGGTACCAACGACAAGCAGTACGGCCATGCCTTAGTGGCCGGCATTGACCGGTATCCCAGAAAGGTCCACAAGCGCATGGGCAAGGCCCGCATCCACAAGAAGTCCAAGATCAAGCCTTTCCTCAAGGTATGAATTGGCAATGCAATGTCCTAGTTCGCTTACCTGGAGTTTTTAGTTGGTTTTGTGTCACTTCTCAACCTGTTCTACCACCCTATCTCGAGCTGTTGCTCCTTGGCATATTGTAGTTTCTACATTGTGAGGCCTGTTTTGTTGATTACAGATTGTCAACTACAATCACCTGATGCCCACCCGCTACACCGTAGATATTCCCTTGGAGAAGATTGCCCCCAAGGACCTTAAGGACCCCGCTAAGAGGAAAATCCTTCGTTTCCAGACTAGGTGCAAGTTCGAGGAAAGGTGAGGAATTTTAAAATTAGCTAGTGTGTTGTGGTCCTGTCTTATTTGTTTGGATCTGTTTCTGTTGTGAATGTCAGTCTCTTTAGACCAGTTACCAGTCCAAAGCAAGCTGTTATTCAGATTTAGAGCAGCTTGTCACATCTTACTAAGCTTTCCCCCTTGCATACCTTTGTTGTTCTTCCTTTCTAATCTCTCAAATTGTGTGTTGCAGGTACAAGGCCGGCAAAAACAAATGGTTCTTCCAGAAGCTGAGGTTCTAATTTCATTTTTGTATACGCACTTGTGCAATAAAACCCAAAAAAATCTATTGTGTTTCCTTTTCCTTACTGTCTCTGTGAGGGTATTTGAAATCAATTAGGGCCACAGTAGTGAGTTGAGAACATTGTATTCTGCATTCAAAGAGTTAACAGGATTCAATGTCAATATGCAATATGTACAACTTTGGAGCATTGCTAATGTACATAAATAAATCTAGGGTGAAAAATAATCTTAATATCTTTCCCTTATGGATGGTTCTCTCCTAAAGTAAAGGTCTTGCCTCTGCTTGTGGTTGATTACTCACACAATTTGATCCTTCAAGTTGGAGTTACTGGACTTAAGTCACTAAGTGCTACAATTTCACAAGACAAAATTTATGAAAATGCCTTCAGTAATATCCTGAGGTGGCTGATAGTAAATCTAGTGCTCACATATGGCAACCACTTTGAAAAGTTATACTGCTAGATCCTAATGTGGCATATCAACTTGCAAATTAACGTATTCACTTTGGCCAAAACCAATCAAAGTCTACAGGCATTTTGTACTAACCAGTTTCCAAAATAAGGTTTCTCTTCTAGATGAAGTTGATTTCAACCACTATCCATCTGTCTTTAAAATGCTCCTCAATCTACGAATTCCAACACTTGAATAAAATCTTACTTAAAACTTTAAGGCATCATAACATTCACACAAGGTTTTAAAAATATGCAATATATATTTTACACTAAAAATATTTACACAATCATGACTTCTATAGACATGTTCGTTAATACTACATGGACACACTGATGTAATGATGTCACTTCAATTCGAAAAATGACCAATCACAGCAAAATTAAAAACTTAACACCTGCATTCACGTACACAAAGACAAAATGCCAATCTGAACCAAAATAAAAACTATGGCAAGAGAGATTCAATACAATATTATAAATACAATAATTATTCATTTAATAATTTATTAAAAAAAAAAAAGACATGGGCATGGAAATGCATGTGCATCTTCAATGTAATAAACTCAACTCAGAATGTGAGACATGGCATCACAGAAGTAAAGCTTAAATAATCAAACATACCACATCACATGACTAATTTAAATACAAGTTACAATAAGATGAAAGAAATAATCATAGTTGAAAAAGTAAGTCTCATAACAAGGAACAAGGGGAAAAAAGAAACTTATCTATTAGTCTCTGGGGGAAAACAAAAGGATCAAAATATGCAACTCAAGTCATTGGTCCCTTCTCAGCCCATTCCTTGGCAGTAAATGTTTTTATTTTTAAACTAAAGTAGTGTGATGACATGTTTTTTACCTACGTCTAACAACATGATGTGACCACAATGGGACAACTGAGTGATGTACTTGGTACTTCAGAAACTTCTCAAGGAAAGACAGAATATTTCATTTGAAAGCCTGTCTTACACATTATCCAGTAAAAGAGGACAGGGTATGCAAAGGAGTGGGCTGAGCTCAGGAATGTATCAAGGCAGTAACTGGCAGTAGATGGCTTGGTAGCTTGACCATAGCAGGCAAGCAAAAGTCACAAAATCACAAATAAAATAGGCACCCGAATCAGAAAGAAATCTGCAAGGTGACACAGTCACCAAGAGCTTGTCAATAAAAGATGACGAGAAGAAATAGCCCACTAATGAATGAATCCCTAGTACGATCTAATAATCTTGCTTCAACAATATCTTTGCCACAATTTGTTGAGTTTCTGAATTAAAAAGAAAAGGCTTTGCTGCTTATATTGGGTAGACAAAGCAGCTAATCACAGCATAGGAGACGCAGTCAAATGCAATTCAAGGGCGGCTCTCACTGCAAGAAATTTCAAACACGTAAGCATAAGTCAAATTTAATTGCAACAAATGCATTTTAATCAAGTCGAAAAATGTCAAAGACAACCTACCCAGGGCCAGGGAAATAATAAGGAGGTGGCCGTTCGTACTCCGTAGACATTGGTGGACTGTGAGCGTGGGAGTGCGAAGCATGAGGACTCTGGTAACGAGGCGGGCCGTTGTTGGGGAAATCCCAATGCCTGCAAAGAAGGACAAAGAGTCAAGTTAGTGGTCTGTTTAAACGACGGTGCGTCGCACAATATTGTGGGGTCTCGATGGACTCACTTTGGTGCCATGTCGGAATACCGCTGCTGTCCTCCGGCTTGAGAGTGACTGGCTCTCTCCGGCTCTGGCCGCGCACGTTCACGCTCACGCTCCCCGCGGCCTAGATGAGCACTGTAGTCGCCAAGGTAGCCTCCGCCTCCACTAGAGTTGTCGTAAGTTTCTTGGTAACTACGGCCTCTACTATTTTTAGTCTTCTTGCGCTTTTTGTCATTAACACTGCGAGAGAAAGAAATTTGGCGTTAAACATTGATAATATCGAGGACATATTTCAGCAACAGTTTTCATGGTTAAAATGTGACTTACTTTGCTAGCGGTATGTTGTCACGATCAGCATAGGCATCATACATGTATTCTCTGCAAAGAAACCATCTCATAATAAAAACAAAGTAGGAACATGTATCCAATCAACATCAACCTGGCATAATGCACTGATTCCATCACCCACTTGGAACAGTCAAAAGTAAAACTTACGCTTCAACCAGGGGTCCCGGATAAGGATCTGACTTTTGATAGAGTGTGGCCAGTTTTACAGAGAGAATAATAGACGGGATGAAAAGTAAAAGGCACCAACCAACACTAGCCCAAAATCCATTCTGTTAAACAAGAAAAAAATTAATTAATGCCAGCTTTTAAGTGTGCACAAGAAGGTAAATGAGATACTCACAAATGGGTTAAGGATTTCGTCACAAGTTGCCATAAGTGTGGCATTGTAAACACGACTTAGGGGCCAACATTTTCCCACCTCTGAATGGGTGTGGTCTACAACACGTTGCATGTAATGTCTAACATGATTCAAAAACTCATCAGCAAATTGTTGAGCGATCTGTAACAGGTAGTGAAGTTAATAAATGTGTTAGGGAAATAAGTAGAGAACAAAGATGCATTGAACATTAAAATAAACATACCTCTAAGAGCTTTTGAGGTCCATCTTTGTTGAGGTAGTCTTGAGCTTTGAGGACTTCATTCATAAGACTGTATATGGCATCTTTCAGTGAGTTATGATTTATATTTAAGTGTTCTTTAAGTTGTTTAACCATTTCACTTAAATTCTGAGCAAATCCAGACAACTCTTCAATGTCTCTTTGGGAATGAATAAGGTTTCGTGCCTCCACTTGCAATTCATCTTGAATCTATAAAGAATAGAAGCATGAGATAACAAGTAATCTTATAAACATTCTTCAAATGTAAAGATGAACTCAACTTACACTTTGGTCATCGATGTTGCTCGCAACAGTCTGGAGCACATTAGCAAACTCAGTGAAATTTAGCTCTGTGATCCTTTGACCCAACTACAAACAGAAAGACAGTAGTAGGATTAGTAACTTTACACCTGTGTCTAGCAGTAAACTGGAGGTGAGAGAAGAAAAAAGATCCATACCACTTCAGTGTATGTGTCAAAAGGAATACTAGGTGATGACTCTGCCAGTTCTGCCAGTTTCCTCCTGGCTTGATCTGGTAAAATGACAATTTGGCCTTCAACACTCAAGCGTTGCTTGATGTTATCCAAAGCATTCTGAAGGCCTTGGTTGTTAGCATACGACAGCACCTCGCTAACATTAACTCTAGCTTCCAAGTCCAGAACATCATAAATGGAGCGATTTTGATGACAGGCGCTAAAAACAAAGACCAAACCAATAATTTCAGTTGGTACACATTTGGAAGTATGTAGGTAAATTTTATAGCAGTTATTAAGAGGGAACTTACATAATAACAGAACTGACGCTCGTGTGGACCGCGGGCATGCGACGATGGCGGCCTCGGTGGTGTGACGAGTCAAGCACCAGGCCCTGGAGCATGCTCTCCAGAGGGGTTATCTCGTCAATAAGACCAAAGATTTGGTTATCGCTGGGATCTCGCAAGGGCTCGCAGATTGTGCGCTCAGCAACAACCCCGACAACAAAATGAACGAGGATGACTAAGATTATAGCAGAGCTCGTCAAGAGAATCAGCCACACAGCACTGTAAAATACATAAAATAATTGTCAGAGAAATACATTTGTGTAGCTGGGTAAAAAAAAAATGATCAAAAATTATATATTATCACATACACCATGAGAAGACGTGCGCCAGTTCCCTTGGTACAGCTATCGTCATTATAAGAGGCATCTGGTCGCTTTCCACAGAATCCACAAAACAGACCAAATGTGATAGGGGCCAGTATCATCAGAAGAATGCAGCTCACAACAAGTCCCAGGTGATATCTATAGAATAACGTAAAGGATAAAAAAATAAATATAATAATGTAAAAAAAAAGAAATGAGTGAAATTAAAGATGAGCTAAAATGGAAATCTCATTCATAAAGATAACAAACCTGTAAGGACTAAATTGAGGAATGTAAACTTTGGCATCTTCAAGAGGGGCTTCTGAGTATCGCAGCACAGCTTGATCAGCCCGCTCCATGAGTTGGGTAATCTTTCTTGCGATTCGGCCCACATCATCACCTGTTAACACATTTGCATTAGTATTAAAGAACTAAGAAAGGCACCAAATAGAATACAGTCAACCGATTCTAATATTCTGGAGATCTTACCAGTTTTCCCAATTGACTTTGAAATTGAAGGGACTGTATCATTGACAGTTCTTTGAATCTCTCTCTGAATGTTATCCAACTGCCGCTTTCCATTCAGCAATTCATTTTTCACGTCTTCAGATACAAGCCCTGACACAGTCTGAAGGCTCTCTGATATATTTGGTAACTAGAAAAACAATGATAAAAAATTGTTACTTGCACACTTAGTTGGTACACATTAATTTTGGTAATCTATGCTTCTTTTTTTTTAAGAAAAGAAAGGACTAGATGTACAAAGTGATTGAAAGATAACCATGATATGAAAAAAAAAACTACATATTTTATCATCCACTACAAAAATATGCAGGTTAACTTGAAACAATAAGAAAATTCAGAACCCAAAAGTACTGTAATGCAATAAAACTACAGTTCCAGTGTACTACAAGCAAAAAAACAACAGAAACATTACAATTTTTTGTAGTCACACCACATAGTCCTTCTCTAATATAAAAGATTTAAGACTTTGTGAGTGAGAAAAAAAAACACACACACATTGCTTTGAGAAAGAAAAAAAAACATTGTTAAAGAAGCAACAACAGAATTGTACAAATTGACACTATTCCATGCAGATGCAAAGAGCGAAAGTCTGTCTTTCACACTGTACCTTTGGAAAGTATTTGTCAAGCATCTTTTTTTGGCATGGAAGAGGGGTACAAGGATGTATTAGATGTATGACAAGAACAATAATGAGACAGCACAATGATCAAATGCATTAGAACACAACGAATACTTACATCATCAAACTGTTCTTTGATGGTAATTTGATTGATCTGCGCGCTGTAAGAGTCCATGACCCCTTTACATTGTGGAATGCTTCTACACCTTCTTGAAATTTCAATAAGGGAATTTCTGACCCTAGTTAAACCTGAAAATAGACATGCAACATGTTTTAAAACGAGTGACATTGGCTAATCCTATGGCCTTCATCTATGTACCGATACACCTTACCTATCTTCAGCACCCGTGCACTAGATCTCAACTTGTCTGTAAGCCTGCTGACCTCCGCTAAATCCGATTTAATATTACCCAGACCTGCCACTAGCTGGGTAAGATTGTCCAGAGAAGTTGCATGAGATATTTCAGCAAGCTGCCTGTTCATTTTCTCTCCGCTGCCTGCAAGAATCAGTCGCAAAATTTCACATAGCATCATGATGGAGTTACAAGAGCAATTGAGCAGGACGTGCGGTCCAGGTCCTTACTTTGGAGGCTCTGGTCCAGGGCGGTCGAGAGCTCGTTGTAGTTGGTGATGAGCAGGTGGTTGATCTCCTTCTGCGTGTTCTGGAGGAAGAGCCGCGTGTCCGCCACCAGGTTGCTGGTCTTGTTGGGCAGCTCCTGCACGCCCTTCTCCATGTACTCGTTGGTGACGAAGGCGCACACCACGCCGAACAGCAGGGCGATGGCGATGCCCGCCAGCAGCACGCCGAAGAAGTGGCGCCGGCAGGGGTCGTGGCGCTTGTCGAAGGGTTGCGAGCGCGCGCCGCAGCGGCCGGTGCAGCGGCAGCAGCAGAACATGAGGCCGGCCACGGGCAGCACGGCGGCCAGCACCAGGCCCGCCAGCACCACGCCCAGCAGGCCGCCGTAGTACGCCACCAGCGAGTGCCACTCCACGGGGCCCAGCTCCACGCGCCCGTCCTCCACCTTGACGAGGCCTGCAACACAACAAGGCAAGCGACGCCCTTCAGTCAATCAGTCCACCAGAAGCAGGGAATGACACGCCTCCCCTCCCCGCCACCCAATCCCTCGCACCCTGGTGCAGGCGGCCAAAACTCTCCAGAGTCAACAGGACCAGAACCGAAATTGTAACGCCCCCCCCCCCCCACCGCGCACCCCCTTGCAGCCCCGCCTTGGGAAAACCTCAAGCTCGTCACGGCGCGGGGCAGGCGGGTCCTTATTGGACGCATCCGGTGCAGGGCGGGCAGGCCGACGACGCCTCGGCGACACACGCCGTGCGTCGCGTCGTTGCGTCTGCGTCCACAGCTGTGCGTCTCGGCGGCCGGGGCGGGCGGGGCTCACGGCTCCGCGGTGCAACAAGAGCGACATTCGTCATCGCGCAGGTGCCGCCGCGGCCCCGGGCCCCGGCCATCCAGTGCCTCGGCACGCTCGCTGCTCGCTCGGCCATCGCCGGCCTGCAGGCTGATTCCGAACGGCGCTTCCGTCACTCTCGCACTCACGGGGCGGCCCGCGAGTGCGAGAGAGTCGGAGCGAGACCATGCAGGCTGGCCAGGCTGGCCGCCCATATGGGCTGTTCACCGCGCTATTCAGCGCACTCGCCACCAAGGCCGAATCAATGATCGGGCACCGCGTCAACGCGTCACGCCGCGCAAACCAGAGCCCCCCCCCCCTTTTCCTGCCCGTGCAACTGCTGGTGCAACTGCAGCGACACGGGGACTCACATGGTCCTCACGTGTCGGCTTCGCTGCCTGCCTGCCTGCCTGCACCCTCAGCACACACCTACCGACACCCACCGGCAGGCGGCCAGGCCAAGCAGGCAGCCAGCCCAGCCAGGGCTTTGCAAAGCCATCTCGCATTTCAGCGGCACAACCTGATACTTTCACTCGACTGCCAGCAGACTGCCAGCAGCAGGGCGGCAGGTATCTGGCCGCGCCGTGCCGCACCGGACGTGGACGAGCGGGCGAGCCTTCCCTAGCCTTCCCATGCACCCAGCAGGCAAAGGCCCCTGCGATGACGCTCCGGACAAACTAATTAATTCGCCTTTCTGCATTTCCAACCTCGTTGTTCCCACCGCGCCTCTTCGCTCGCCGCGCCAACAACAACAACAAAAGCCACAAGCAGGCGGCGAGCGAGTGAAAATTAACGGGGAGGCGAATCGGCGGCCACGTTCGGCCGGCGGGGCCGGCAGCACATGTAGTACATGGAGCATGTAGGCGCCGGCGTGTACACCGCGATTAGGCACGCACAGTGCACAGCCATGGCACAGCCCCGCAGCAGACTGATTCCGAGAGTTGTCGCTCTGTCCCTCTCGCAGCTACACGTACACGCCCCACGAGTGCGAGAGGGACAGAGCGACTCTCGGAATCAGTCTGCCGGCGGCAGCATGGTGGCAGCGGATGCGATAAAGGCGGCGATTCTGAAGCGTCGTCCGTCTCTGTCGCACCCGTGGGGGCTGGCCGGGCTGGCGCAGCGCGTCTTCGGGATCGCTCTCCGTTCAGCAGGACCACGATAAGGAGACGCCGAGGCGCGCATCGTTCGCGTCTCAAGAGCGGAGGCTCAAAATGGACCGGACTGCTGCAGCAGGCGGCAGGCCGATTCCGAGCACTGCTTTCGTCGCTGTGTCTCTCTCGCACCTGTACGGGACGCCCCACGAGTGCGAGAGAGACAGAGCGACGAAGGCAGGCAAGCCAAGTCAGCCAGCACAGCCAGCCAGCGCGGTTCCAACGGTCCGCCGCGCCGCGGTCGGCGTGGCGGGGCGTGGCGCGGTCGCCGTGCAGTTGTGCCTGTGCCCTAGGCCGCCTGGCCTTCCCTCCAGTGCCGCTACACGCTGCCAGTACACTGCCAGTCCTGCGCCACGCCACTGCCACCAGCCGGCCGGGCCGGGCCGGGCTGGAGGGACCTGGCCGACGGGCCGTGGGGCCGCGGCCACGGCGGCCACGGCGCTGCCGGCCGACCGGCGCACAGGTCGGCGCGAGGCCAAAGAACTGGCTGCAGGTCTGCAGGCAGGTGGCGGCGTCCGAAGCGCTACCCGCCACGCCGGTGGTGGCACGCCAGCCACTCGCGCTTCTTGGAGGCGTCGCGCGCCTCGCACGCAACCGGTAGAGACGGGCACTACGCCGATCATCCTCCTGGCTGTCTGTCTGTCTGCCATCCATCCTGTCAGCTACAGGTAGTGCCTGGTGATGGTGACTCGAACCGCTACGCCAGCGTACGCCAGCAGTGCTCGGCGCTCCGCCCGCCTCGAGAGAGATGCGAGTCCGAGACAGGAGAGATACTGCATAAGTCAGGGCGCGGCCCGCCGAGGCAGCCAGGCAGCCACGGGCTTGAAAGGCTCAGCGCTCAGCCTGACTTGACTTGTGCGAACACTTTCTCCGATCGGGGGCGGAAGGCCGGCGGAAGGGCGGAAGGAAACAAAGGCGAGGGAAGCGGCGATAAATATCATCAGAGCACAGTCAGGCAGAGCGGCAGAAAAGGGCCGACGCGCCGCCGCACTGTGGGCCACAATCGGCGCCGGCGGCCGAAACTCTAGACGCGTTTTGAGCTCCAGAGTCGCTGAATGGGACTCGAACCGAACGTGTGACCCCACCAATGGATTCCTCGTTCGGAGAGCAATCCATTGGTGGGGTCACACGTTCGGTTCGAGTCCCATTTAGCGACTCTGGAGCTCAAAACGCGCGCGTCCGAGGTTTTGACCGCCTCCACCGGTCTTCTGGCCCACTGTGCGCCGCGGCTGGGATTCGAACCCGCGACCGGCATTGTCCTGGCGGCCACTTGGCACCGCTTGGCGCGGCACCGCGCGGCACGTTCCGGCCTCCTTTCCCCGCATAGCGAAGCGCGAAGCGAGCGGAGTGACTCACTCGGTTCACCAGTCCGACGCTTCGCCGCGACGCCGCGACGCCGGAACAGCGGGACAGTGTACCGACCGAGGGGGTATTGCTCCAATTCGACGGCTGCCTGTCTCTCTCGCACTCATGGGGCGTGCTGCAGGTTTGCGAGCGAGACGGCGCGGCGGCCGGCCGGCCAACCTCGTGGCCTACACTGGCAGCGCATCGACACTACTCGCACCTAAAGGGAGCTCAAAACGCGTCTAGAATTTCGACCGCCTCCACGCAGTCTTCTGGCCCCCAGAGCGAAAGTCCGCCTTTGGCAACGCGCGCACCGTGCAATTTTTCATAGCCGCCACGCGACCTGCGGCCTGCGGCGCGGCGTGCAGCGTGTGAGAAAGAAACGTTTTGTCACATGCCGGGGCAGAAATTCTGGTGGGCGCTCTCTCACGGCGTGGCGAAACGAAACGCCGGAGTGGCTGCCCTGATAAACTCCCAGCGGGCTGATATTCCGAAAAGTGTTCCTCGCCGCCGCGTCCGTCCCCCTCGCTCTCGCGGGGCGCCCCGTCAAGGGGCGAGAGAGACGGGGCGACGAAACACTCCGCGCCACGACGACAGCAAATTGGCCCCCGGCACCGCGACCTTCACGCCGGGCAGGCAGCGGCCCGGCACTGGAAGGACTGGAGGCATGCTGGAGGCACGCTGGAGGCGGGGAAGCGAGGCAAAGTCCTAAACGCTGCCTGGAGTGCCTGGAACCACTGGAACGGCAGCCAGCCCTGCCAGCCCGCCTCGCCTCGCCTGGCTAGAGTGCCTCTCCTGGAGCACAATTTTTTCAGCCGCCGCGTTGGTTTGAGAGACAGAGAGAAAAGAGGTGGGGGGAGGGGGGCAAAACGTCGATCCGCTTCCAGTCTGTCGAGCGAGACCCGAGTCAAAGGCTTACACTATTACTCCAGCACTCCAGCACCGCGCCATGAGTCGAGCCAAGCGCCGCCCACGGACGACAACCATAGGCAGTAGTGGACCGATTCCGAGAATCGTTTTCGTCGCTGTGTCTCACTTCGCACTCGTGGAGCGTCTCGTATAGGAGCGAGAGAGACAGAGCGACGAAAGTGACTGTCGGAGTCGGTCTGCTGGCGCCAAGCCTGTTGACAATACCGCCGCAGTCTGGCCAGCACTGAATGCAAGACAATGCGACCGGACGGCACAGCCCGCGAGTGCGAGAGAGACAGCGCGACCGAAACGAGTCTCGGAATCAGTCTGCAGTCTGTCCATGAAGCCACCGCCAACAGCGCAGCAGCCAGCGAACGGCATCAAGGGCGGGCAAGGCACTGCAAGGCGCGGGGTCGCCGTCGGACGTCGTCGTTTAGGGGATCCGGGGCCGTCGCTCTGTCTCTCTCGCACTCATGGGGCGTGCCGTGTGGGTGCGAGAGAGACAGAGCGACGACTCTCGGAATCAGTCCGCAGGATGAGGGGCGGAGCAGCCGTGCAGTCATGCAGCCTGCAGCGCAGGCAGGGCCATTAGCGAAAAGCCTCTCTCTCCCTCTCTCTCCTCACACACACATCAAAGGGCCGTGACGTCACAGCGCCGCACAAGGCGACCAATTATCGCTGCCAGAAAGTGCAAACCACGGTGCGGTGCGCCGCGGCGCGTTTCGACAGCGGAGGAATATGAGGACAGCCTGCAGACTGATTCCGAGGGTCGTTTTCGTCGCTCTGCCTCTCTCGCACCTACAGGGGACGGCCCACGAGTGCGAGGGAGACAGAGCGACGACTCTCGGAATCAGTCTGCAGCCGCGGTGCGGTGGCGGTAGCATCATGCAGGCCGTCAGCCCGACGGCCAGGAAGCGACGCCGCGAGTACTTGACCCGACCCCCTCCCCTTTCCCGCTGGGTCCTAAACTGCCCGTCGCTGCCCCCAGTGGCCCCAGCGGGCCCAGTGGGCCCCCCACCCCCGGACGGCACCGCGACGCCGCGCCGTACCGCTCCGCTGCTTTCACCTCTCGCCACGCGACGCCCCGCCAGGCCACAGCAAGCAGAAGTCCAGGGACACGGCGAGCAGGATTTCCTCCCTACATAATGCACGCGGAAAGCAAAGCCAACGCTAAACCGACAGACGCTCGCGCTGCCCAAACGCTGCGGTGACGCTCCGTCTCCCTCGCACTCGCAGAACGTGCCGTGAGAACGTGCCGTGAGGGTGCGAGAGAGACAGACTCGCAGTGACGCGGCCAGGAGACGTGACGCGTTCCGATTAGCGACTCCGGACTACACGATAACGATTCGTGTGTCCGCGGCCGCGAAGGCGAAAGTCGGCGGGCGGGCGCCCCAAGTCCTCCTCCACGACGGCGGCGCCCAGGCCAGGGAAAAGTCCCGGTGATACGAGCCCGCCCCTTAGCGCCCCCGTCCGGGCAGCACACTGGCAGCACGGCGATAACGACTCGCAGAATCCTCAATGAGTCACTCGTGTCACCGGGGACTCCTTCCTCCGCCAGTGTGCCGCGACGTCCCGCTGTCCATCGTGACGGCTTCCTCCCGGCCAGCCGGCCGCCGATAAAACAAGTAAAACAACGCCTGCGCGCAACATCACATCCCAGCGGCGGCAAAAAGAGAGAGAGAGAGAAAGAGACAATGAAAGAGTGAAGAAGCGCAGACTGGCCACTGGCGGTTCGCGCCGAGGCCGGACGGGCCGGACTGGACTGTCCATGTCCACTCACTCCACTCCACTGGTAGCGAGCGTCGCCCCCTCGGCGTTGCACGGCGTTGCCAGGTCGATATGTCATGGCACGTCCACGGCCCCACCGGCCTGCGCACTGATTCCGGGAGTCGTTTTCATCGCTCTGTCTCTCTCGCACTCACGCGGGGCGTCCCGTGTGGGTGCGAGAGAGACAACCCGAGGAAAACGACTCTCGGGAATCAGTCCGCAGGCCGCTGCCTGCCATGCCCATCCCATGACGCGCGCCGCAACCGATAAAACTCTCCCATTTTGATTCATATTTTTATTTTCGTTTTCCCCCTCGCCCACTTTCTCCGCCTCGATCATTAGGTCATTAGCAAGGCCGAGGCCGGCGCGGCCGACTCATTTGCAACGCGTCGAGACAAGTCCCACAAGTCCACACACACACCCGCCGCGCAGCCCCGCCAGCCCGGCTCGGCCAACCCACGCCCGCGAGGTAGGCAACCTCCCCGCGGTGAAGTCGTGTCGTCGCGCTCTCTCCATCTCTGTCGCACTCGTGCTCACGGGGCGGCCCGTACGAGTGCGACAGAGACAGAGCGACCAAACGACTCTTGGAAACGGCTGCGCCGGCCGCGCTTTCCGTCCTTTTTGCATAACGCCCCCCGCGTCGGCTTGCAGTGTGCCTGCACGGCCCGCACACATGACGGCATAAAGCAAGCGGTACACAGACAACCGTTTTTCCACCAGTGAGTCACCGCAGAGTCACCAGACTGGCCGGGTCGGCCCGGCCGCGACAGCCGCGACGCAGACAGACCCGGCTGCTGCTGGAAGACGGGCCAGTCCGTGACGCACGAGGCTGCCGCGCGCCGCGCCCCCGACTATGATTCCGGAGCTCTGTCTCACTCGCACCTGTCTGGACGCCCCATGAGCGCGAGAGAGACAGAGCGACCGGAATCAGTAGTCTGCAGCCCGCCGTCCCGTCACACAGTGTGCAGGGCGGTGGACACGGCCGTGCCAAAGCGAAGCAAGGCGAAGCGCACGCGCCGCCAAGCACTCCGTGTCGGCGTTGGCGTGGCGGTGCGCGACCAGGATGGCGGCGGCGCGCTGGCTGGAGGCTAGAGGTCCCCGTCGTCATGACAACGCGCGGCCGCGGGCAGCCGGGGGCCGTCCAAAACACGATTCGGCGCGGGCCCCGCTGCTGCCTCCCCCCTCTCCCCGCCCCGCGCGCTCTGCGGCCCCGCGGCCCTAGGGCTGCGCAGGGCAGGCAACGCAGGACCCCATGGCGGGCCGCATATATTTTTAACCCGACGATGCAGGGCCCAAGTGTGATGCGGGCCGCGGCGCCGCGGCGCGTACAGTGGCGGTTACAGTGTGGGGCACTCGGAAGACCCGTTTGGGCCGACGCGGCTTTGGAAACTTTTTTCCAGCCCGAATCGAACTTGTGAAGAGCAATCCACTGGTGGGGTCATGCGTTTGATTCAAGTCCCTTGAGGGCTGGAGTTGGTTCGACTGAACAGAGGCCTTCTCCGCGGCACGCACGCGGCACACTGTATCGACGCGCCCCGCCCCGCGCCACCTGGAGCCGCTACACTGTATACCACGGCGCGACCGCGCGTGTGGGTGCAACGCCCTTGGCGCCGCCGTCTAGAGCACCGCGACGGCGAGGCGCGTCGGCTGGCGGTCGCGCCCCGCAGCTCCATTCTGAACACTGCTTTCGTCGCTCTGTCTCTCTCGCACCCTCACGGGCCGCCCCACGAGTGCGAGAGAGACAGAGCGACCAAGGCATCAGGTGCAGCGGAGCGCGGCAATGGCGCCGATAAGCGGGCCGAAGCAGGCAGCAGCTGCGGTGGTATTGGTCAGGGACGACGGCAACACGCAGTGAACATCCTCTCAATCAGAACACAGCGTCCTTATCGTGCACACGCTTCCTCTCTCTCCCTCCGTCTCGTCGGAGTGTGCGCAAGCTGCAGCCCGTCGCGCCGGCCCCAGCCCCGGGGCCCCGGGCAGTGTGGTGGCTGAGGGGCTTCCCTGACGCGGCGCAGCCCGCGCAGCCCGCGCAGCCTGCAGGCCGCCGAACGAGGATGCTGCACATGCTGCGGCATGCAGGGGTCAGGCAGGCTGGGGCTGGGCCGCTGCGAGGCACGGCACGGCGGGCGGGCTCTAGAGCCCCGTCACGTTCACTAGGCACAGGATTTGGAAGGAGAGAGAGAGGGGGGAGGGGAGGTAACGCACGGGCGCGCCGCGGAGGCGTGGCGAGGCGTGGCGGCGCGTCGCGAGGTCCATACCCCCATGTGCGGCCGCGGCCGCGGCGCGCCATCCATTACGGGCTCATCTCCGCGGCGGGGGGCTGCCGGGCTGCCTCCGTCTCTCTCGCACTCGCACCTCCGGTGAGGTGTCCCTCGAGAGTGAGAGAGAGAGAGAGAGACGGAGCCACGAAACTTGCTGTTCGGAATCAGCCTGCCCAGCCACCGGAACTCGGAACCAACAAAGCTCCGGCCGGCAAATGTAATCTCCAGGCAGGCAGGCAGGCAGGCAGGCCCCAGCGCGAGGCGAGGCGAGGCAGCCTTGGAACGCGTAACAGTGACCTCACCGGGCGCCGACGCGTGCCGTGCCGTGGCGCCGTGCTGCAGTGCCGCCCCGGTGCGGCGTGGCGTGGCGTGCGCAGTGCAGCGCACGCGGCACGCAGTTTGGCCGTTCCGCCAGCGAGATAAACACGAGGAAGCGGCAAGAGGGTGGCGGCACGCGGCGCGTCGGTCTTGACATTGAAAACGCGAAACGCGGTGTGGCGAGGTGGGCTGCTACGCGCTGCCAAGTGGTCCAAGCTTCGAGTGCTGGCACCGGGGCCCGCGGCCCGCCCCACCTCACAACCGCGCCGGCAGCAATATTTTTACGATTCCACTTGAGATGAGATAGGTCCACTTGGCCTGAGTAGGAAAACGCTTTTTCCTGTTCTCTACGCTCATTATGGCTGCAACACTGTGTGGAACAAAAACCCACAGGACACTCTGCTAGTTCAAAACTGTTATAGAATACAGTGGGTGATTTTACTTGGAAAGACCCAGGGTAAGACACTATGATGCCCTAAAACCTCCGAAAAATGCCGCCAACACCTACATGTAAACTGATAAGATGACAAAAAATGAACTTTGGTCAAGAATTATATTAATTTCAGATCAGAACTACCTCTTTTCAACTGAAACCACCACATTTGTTAGAATATTTGTAAGGCTACTAGCAAAGAAAATAATTCCTATTAAATTTCTTAATTTCACTATAAAAGAGAAAAAAAGGGCCCAAGAATTTCATTGAAAAACACTCAATTATACCAGGAAACATCTAAAACTCAAATTACAAGGGAGAAAAAGGCCAAACATTGACTAATTAGACATATTGATTTTCTTATTGATCACAACAAAACTTTACAATTCAAAATTACCCAGCATTTAAATCTTGATAAGAACGTAAAATTGAGAAAGAGACTCTCCAGGAGCTACGGCTCACTTGGAACTCGTTAAAAATCGAAGTCATGTGTGCACATGACAGCCAAATATTGTCTGTAAACAAAGGCTTGCTGTCTGCACGCGCACTGCAAAAACAAGCCAAAACGAAAACAAGGCGCTTCCGGGCGCCTAAAAGCACTCTGCAGGGCGGGCCAAGGGACGGCGAGCCCTCAGGAGGCTCCTGGGAGCGCCCAGGGCGCCTAGATAAGGATTTTTCATTCAGGTTAATGACCAATTCCATTCAAGCAGAACTAGGGTAACGGGAGTGGGGAGCGCTGAGGGGCCACAGCTGATTCACTGATGAGCCAGGCGAAAGGCACAAGACTGGCGGAAACCGTTACTGAAATCGAGGCTGAAATCACGAAAGCAAGCGGGTTGGGAAACTCACCCTGCGGGTACGGCTCCTCGCGCTGGATAATCCTCATGAACATCTTGGTCAAGTTGTACAGGTTTCCCATGCCCCTGGCATCGAATCGAACGGGCGACCTGTAGTTGTGGTTCAACACTGGTGGGGAGTACTGGATCTCGCGGAAGGGCATGACGTTGGGCAGGGCATGCTGCAGGCCGCGGGACGGCGCCACGGCGTAGCTTAAAACCACCACGACCCCGACGCAACACCAAACAAAACAACGGCTGGCCCCTTGAGCGAGCGCCATGTTGGCGGAGAAAGCCGACGAGACGGCCCTCCTCCTCCGAGAGTCCGCCGCAGACTGACGACGGACGGGACGGCCGCACGCTGTCTCTGTCTCTCTCGCACAGTCGCGCACAACACAAAGGGGGAGGGAGCAGGGGGGAGGTGGAGGAAGCCCCCCTGCGGCCGCTTTCGGAAGGCCGAGATGCGTGTGATAACAAGCAGTGAAGTCTCGTCGGCTTTCCAGACAAGTTTTAACGCGAGGGCGACGCGGAGAGACCACGAAAGTCGGAAGCTGAGAGCGTGGAGGTTGGCAGCAGTGACGGAGCACCAGTGGCGCAGGGCAGCGATGGAGGATGGCCGTGGTGTCGTGGAGTATCTGCGGCGGGCTCGCTCATGGAGAAGTGCGGACGGTGGCGATACTCCACGGTGGTAGAGATTTTACGCTGGAAATAGTCAATCTCCCGTGAGCTCTACGTAAATGTCGTGGGGAATCTGTTTAAATGGTGCGATCTTGCAGTGTGTAAACGTAGCAAAGTGTCACTAGGACCGTAAGTGTTCCGGACGGAAACAAATTCAAAGTACATGTAACCAGAAGGCCTTCCAACGCAAAGTGTCAGCACAAGCAGACGACAAAGAACAGCGTGCTTGGAAGTTTGCCATACTAGCGATAGGTGCTGCCATCTGGCGAGCGCTCCGAACGTCGTTGATTACATCCTTTTTGCATTTATTTACCTCGTCATCTCATTCAGCGACGGAAGCGGACGGTCGTGCGTGATCTAGGATCTGACTTCAAGCTTTAGTTTTGCGTTGTCACCCAGCATCAACCCCCACCTCGCTATCAGCATGAACTAGCAGACCGGCCTCCAAGTCAAAAACCTCGCGCAGTCGCTCCTGTGCCTTATAAGTGGCAGTTATCTAGTGCGGTGCGGTAGCCCCCTGGTTGTCGTCCGATTACAAGGTGAGCCATTATCAGTACAGTGATGTGTTAGTTATATAATACAATGGCTAAACGGTGTCTTGAACCTTAACATTTCTAATTGGAGATTTTTTTTTGTAGATGCTGTACTTGATACTGCAATGGTACATTTTGGTACCTGCTCTGCTAGCCCTGCTCTACTGGCATGGGACCAAAAACTTTTCTCATTGGCGGAAGCATGGTGTAAAGCACATCCCTCCTGTATTCTTCTTTGGCAACATACGCAAGCGAGTGCTTTTCCAGCAATCATTCCATGAAATTCAGAAGGAACTGTACTTTGCCTTCCCTGGCGAAAAAATAGCAGGTACAACACCGGCCCTCCCCTTTACTTTCTTCAAATACGATTTTTGTCATATATAAATATTATTTGACAGGCATTTACGAGGGAAGACGTCCAACTCTGATGGTCCGTGATCCTGAATTAATTCGCCTCATCATGGTGCGAGATTTTGACCATTTTGTGGATCGTCCCTTTTTGCGATTCCCTCAGAGGCCTTCTATTGCCAACATGCTTATAAGCCTGCAAGGGGCTCACTGGAAGTCAGTACGAGCCACTCTAACCCCTACATTCACATCAGGCAAAATTAAGGCAATGTCTTTGCTTGTCACGGACGTTGGCAAGCAAATGGTTTCATATCTTGAAAAAACAATTGACAAACCAGGTTTGTATGGCTGGGCTTGAGGCAACAGTTTTCAAAATGTAGTCATCTTACTAATTTTGATTTGTTGTTTTTTAATGTAGATGGATGTGACATGGAAATGAAAGATTTCTTTGGCCGTTTCACTATGGATGTTATTGCATCATGTGCATTTGGAGTTCAGTGTGATTCACTTACAACGCCTGATGCCGAATTTGCAGCATTTGCTGGCAAATTCAATGATGTACCAATTTATGAGAGAATCATGATTTTCTCAATATTACTCTTTGCTCCTAATCTGGCACGCTTTTTCCCTCTGTCATTTTTGAACCGAGACGTAGCTAAATTCTTGGAATCAGTTGTGCGGGATACCAAAGCTCAAAGAATAAAAAATGGAATTAGGTATGTATAACTAAACCTTCTCAGTAAAGCTTCCTGTCCTCATGTGTTCTTTACATTTTTTCTTCCTGTGCAGGAGGAATGATTTCTTGCAGCTAATGATTGACACTGCCGATGCTGACAAAGCTGATGGAAAAAAGACAGGTACTTTTTTATGCTATTTATTTCAACAAATTAAAGAGCCAGTTTTTCAGCAGAGCAGTTTTGAGTCTTGCCTTGTGTTTTTATTTTTGCTGTGCAGTTTTGACAGAAGACATTGTGATTGCTCAGTCAATTCTGTTCCTATTGGCTGGCTTTGAAACTTCAAGCACAGTTTTGGCATTCACTGCCTATGAATTGGCACTGAATCCTGACATCCAATCAAAGCTCCGCGAGGAAATTTTCAAAGTTTTGGAAAAACACCAAGGGAAATGCACCTATGAAGCTGTTCAGGAGATGGAATATTTGGATATGGTTATACATGGTTAGTAAAGACATTGAGTTTACAACTATCATAACAGCTATTTTTGTCATCATTTGAGATAATTATTTCATTTTTTAAAATTTTTATTTTTGCAGAGTCTATGAGAAAACATCCACCAGTTGCAAGGATGGATCGTCAGTGTACTGCTGCATACACAGTTCCTGACACTAACTTGAAGCTGGAGCCCGGGACCAGCGTCACCATACCAGTCATGGGATTGCATTATGACCCTGAGTATTACCCAGATCCAGACAAGTTCGATCCTTTGAGGTTTTCTTCTGAGGAAAAAGCGAGGAGGTCACCCTATGTATACCTTCCATTTGGTGCTGGACCAAGAAATTGTATTGGTAAGCATCAAAATGTGTGAGATCAAATCAGTTTTAATTGTCTTTTATCAACTAATTATTTATGTGTTTCATTCAGGTGCTCGGTTTGCTTTAACATCCACTAAGATGGCAATGGCTTACTTGCTTCAAGACTTCAAAGTCGAACCATGTGGCAAGACAGAGGTTCCCTATACGTACAGTAAATTCAGTATGATGCTGAAAGCTCACAAAGGCGTTTGGTTGAATCTAAAACGTTTGGTTGAAGTTTCATCTCCATCATAGTACTGTAGTTAAATTTTCTGTCTAGCCACAATCCTTTCAAGGGTTAGAAATTGTATTTCAATTCTAGTTTATCCTTGAAATCGCCTTGATAATTTTGACGTATAGCAGTATTTGTAATCATCCTACAAAATGAGCACCTGGAAAGTATTCCAGTTTATTATGTACAATGCTTGATATTTTTTTACTCTTTAAATTACTAGCTTTATGTCTAGTGTTGTTTCCACTGCACCAGACATGAGATTAGGGCCTCAGATGTGGCTCAAATTTCCATGGGCCTCTCCTTTTTACAGCAAGGCCATTAGATGTTCCTTTTGCCAAAGTTGCTGTGGTGGGTGGTTGTGTGTTGCCTTGCCTTCCAGCCCTTGCTTCAAGGCAGGCAACTTTTTGAACTATTTTTTCCTCTGAGGAGGTGGCTAACTGTTTTTTTAGCCAGTGACTCAAATTTTGCTAGTTTTTAGTTTTTTCGATGTTTACAATGGATATTGTAGTAAACAAGTTTGGTTTCTTTCAAACCATGGGATCTGTATTATGAGAACTGTAATTTGTCTGTGATTTTTTGACACTAGACCAAAGACAAGTCCAGTGAAAATTTATGTACCCAAAAACAATAAAGACAAACAACACATATTGAAAGCTGGTTTATGTTGTATCTCGCCCTTTTCTCCAAGCAAATTAAACCATCACACTCGCTCGCTGACGTGAAAGTGTCACCCGAACTGGCATTGGTCCGGAAATACTCTCCCGCTACAAGCGCGGGGTATGGACACGCGCACTCTCTGCGGGCGCCGATACTCCGCGGCGTTTCCATGGCAACGCGCGGCGGCCGCCACGTTTGATCGAGTTGTTGATGGCAGAGCCCGCCAGGGCGCAAATCGCCATCGTGGTTATGCTGCTTTGCACATAAGTGCCGCGCCGTCGTGCCGCATCCAGCAACGGCAATGCCGCGCTCCAAGCCGGTCTTACGGCCGGGGGTGAGTAGCTCTGGCTCTGGCGCCAGTGGCAGTATGTCGCACAGTAGGCCAGAAGACCTGTGGGGCTCGGACCAAACGTGTGACCCCACCAATGGATTCCGCGTTCGGAGAGCAATCCATTGGTGGGGAAACATGTTCGGTTTGAGCCCTGTTTAGCGACTCTGCAGCTCAAAACGCGTCTAGGGGAGAGCAGCGCGGCGGCAGGCCGTCAGCGCCCGCGTAGCCGTGGGTAGGCAACCCGCCGCCACGCGCGCTCGACGGGCTGGCCTACGCCACGACTGCAGGCGCTCCGCTGCTTTTCTTTCTCACGTAACGCTACGCTTGCATCTCTGCGCAGACCTCGGTCCTGAAGAACAAGGCCAGCGGCGTGAAGCTGCATGGCACTCAGGGCGGCGAGGGGTCCCGCGTGGACCTCGAGGACGCGGAGAACTGGGGGCGAGCGAGGACCCTGATCAAGCCCGACGACCAGCTGGAGCTCAGCGAGGCGGTAAGGCGAGGGAGAGCTGGAACACGTTGGCGACGGCGGCGCAGAGCGTGTCTGTGACTGTCTGTCCCTCCGCCCGCAGGAACTCAAGGAGGAGATCGCCCGCGTGCTGACCATCCGGACGCCGCAGCTGTCCGAGGGGCTGGTCATCTGGTCGCACAAGGATGCCGCGTTCGTGCAGCGCGCCGTGCCCGCGGCCGGCGTCCTGGTGCTGGACATGCCGTCCACGTGCCTGCACATCGACAGTGCCGAGGCGCGCGAGCAGGCCGCCTACCTGGGCAGCGCGGGCCGCATCACGCTGGCCGAGACCATGACCGTCACCAAGGCGGTGCCCAAGGCCGTCAAGAAGGAGAGCCGCAAGGGCGGCGCCGAGGACGAGGAGGAGGACGAGGAGGGCGACGGCGAGGGCGATGGGGACGGCGACGGCGAAGGCGAGGGCGAGGGCAAGGAGCACGCCGGCAGCTTGAGTGACGGCGCCGGCGACGCTCCTGTTCAAGGTACCTATGCCCACCTCATCGTGTTCTTCGTGTTTCTCCCGGACGCCGTTCATGCGGCTCGGTTGCCTCAGGGTCCGAGACGAACCTCCAGAAGGACGAGGCGGGGGACGGGCAGGCCAAAGCCGACGCCAGCACCGAGGCCATCGAGGGGGCGGGGGAGGGCGACGAGGCCGGCGTCGAGGCCGGCGAGGGCGACGAGGCCTCCACGGCGGACGGCGAGGACGGCGCCGAGGACGGTGACGCCGCGGCCGAGGCTCTGCCCAGCCGGCCCGTCAAGAAGGTCGCCAACCAGTTCAACTTCTGCGACCGCGCCGCGCTCACCTACAACAACCCCTACAGGGTAAGCCGCCGTGCGAGCGTAGGGCGTGTCAGAGGGACGCGACACCTGACGCGGATGCTGCCGTCTGCCCGCAGACGCTGAGCACGCAGACGGAGCCGCCGCCGAGAGACACGTTCTCCGAGCAGGTCATGCAGTGGATCATCTACGACGCGTACGCCAAGGACTGGGAGGACAAGCAGGCCGGCAAGGAGAAGGAAGTCAAGGTGCGCTTTGACGGCACTTAGTTCGTTCCATTTCCGTCTGGCTTTTGGTCCTTGCTGACCGGTGTACGCGGTGCGCCGCGGCGCCTTGTCTCTGCAGGCGGTGCCGAAGCAGTTCGGGCGGCAGGCCGAGCGCAAGCTGGACGAGCGCACCAACCCCAACTCGTCGCTGAACCGCTCCATCCGCGCGGCCAAGACCATCGAGCGCATGCTCAACCAGAACACGTCCGACGACATCGCCAAGGGTGAGTGCGCGGCGTGGCAGACGGTCGGCGGGGCGGGGCGTGGCGGGCGGGGCGCGGCAGCCACGCAGGCCGCCATGTAGGCCACCATGTAGGACGTCCCTTCACCACCCCGGCCACCCGCCCCGCCGACATGCACACTTGATTCTTGCAGGCTGGCTCGCCGCCCCGCCCCGCCCCCGCGACCCCCAGCGGCCTCCGTCGTGGGCCATGGTCCTGGAGGTCCTGGTCCACCACTTGGTCCACCAGTGCGCCCGTGGTTACACCTGCAGCCTCGCTGCGTAAGTCCCACCGAGCGTCCGGAAGTCCTGCCCGCGGTCCCGACCACCCGTTTCAGACAAGTCGGTCAGTCCTGCCCATCCTCACCCTGGCTCTCTGTCTCGGTGCAGACTGCCGCTACTACGAGGACGGCTCCGATGAGTTCCGCGAGGGCGCGGGCACGCTGCTGCCGCTCTGGAAGTTCTTCTACGAGCCCACCAAGAAGTTCCACGTGACCAACATCTGCTGGAACCCGCGCTACCATGACATGTTCGCCGTCACCATGGGCTACCGTGAGTCCCATTTAACCTTGCGCCGTGCGTTAAAAAATCACCAGCCCCGCCTTCTTTTCATTTATTTGAATATGATTTTACAGTGGAGTTCATGAAGCAGTCCCCGACCGGCGCCGTGTGCGTGTTCACCATGAAGAACCCGTCGTACCCCGAGTACGTGCTGCACACCACGTCCTCCGTGATGACGGCCGAGTTCCACCACGAGCAGGTGAACCTGCTGGCCGTGGGGCTGTACGACGGCAGCGTGGCCGTGTACGACCTGCAGCTGTCCTCCACGCAGCAGGAGCCCGTCTTCAGGTCCGACTCGGTGCACAACAAGCACTGCGACATGGTGTGGCAGGTGAGGCCGCTCTCGCTCGTCCCCGAAAGCCTATACTCACGGCAGGATCAGAGTACAGTGGGCCAGAAGACCGGTGGAGGCGGCCAAAACTCAGTCCTTACCAGCCTCCCCTATTCCCCTCCCCAGGTGACGTGGGGCCAGGACACCCCCGACGGCGAGCTCAACCTGTACTCCGTGTCCAACGACGGCCAGGTGTTCAACTGGGTGCTGACGTCCAGCACGCTGCACCAGACCACCGTCATCTCCCTGGTCCTGGAGCGGAGCGCGCCCGTCGCCGGCCCGGACGGGACCACCCTCACCATCACCGGTCGGCGGCTGGCGACTGCGGGTTCGAATCCCAACACCGCGTCTTAAAATAATTGTTTTTTTTTCTCTTCCAGGCTGCGGCACGGCGATCGCGTTCCACCCCACCAACCCCAAAGTGTTCCTGGTGGGCACGGAGGAGGGGCAGGTGTTCAAGTGCAGCACGGAGTACACGTCCATGTACCTGCTGTCGTACGGCGCGCACCACATGCCCGTGCACCGCATCCACTTCAACTACTACCTGCCTGACATCTTCATCACCTGCTCGGCCGACTGGCGCATCAAGATCTGGGAAGACGGTCGCACGTGAGTCTGTAGCCAAATGGTACTGCTAAAGCCAGCTAAAGCAAAGAGAAATAAAAATAAAAACGACGGGTATTCGAACCCGCGCCGCGCAGGGAGCCGCTGTTCGTGTTCGACCTGCACTGCTCGGTGGGGGACGTGCAGTGGGCGCCGTACTCGTCCACCGTGTTCGCGGCCGTGACCCTGGACGGCAAGGCGCACGTCTACGACCTCAACGTGAGCCGCTACCAGCCCATCTGCGTGCAGAACATTGTGTCCCGGAAGAAGAACCGGCTCACGCGCCTCGCCTTCAACAAGAAGCACCCGATCATCGTGGTCGGCGACGAACGGTGCGTCAAGGCTGTTCAGCGCTAACGGCTATACCAGCATCAAGGCCCGTACGTCGTGGGCCGCTAAACAACAGGATGTCCGATTAATTAATGAATTTGTTTTTTGGAAACAGGGGGACGGTGACATCGCTGAAGCTGTCGCCGAACCTGCGCGTCAAGCCCAAGGCCACGAAGAAGCAGGCGCACCTGACGCCGCACGAGCTGGAGGTGCTCAAGATGGACAAGCTGCTGGCCCTGGTCCGGGAGCCCTTCATCCTGCAGCGGCCCGCCGACACGGACCAGCCCCCCGAGTAGGCAAGGCCGGCCAGGGGCTCGGTGACCCGGAGCACGGCGACGACGCGGAGCAATGCGACAACGCGGTGCACGACGGCGAGGCCGAGCCCCCGGCTTACCTGCCCGGTGAACTCGGCGCCTATCCCGCCTGCAGTCGCCCTGTAATCCCTGAAAACTTGGCGATCCCCGGGACAAAGCGGCGCCTCCCCCGGCGCGCCCAGGTGGACACGCCTTGTCCTTCGCGCCGAGTTGCGCTGGAGTTGCTTTCGAAGTTGACGAGCCGGATGGCGGAGTAAATTAAAGTAAGTTTCTCTTCGTAATGGCGGTCGGTCACTTTGAGTTCTTTCCTTCTTTTCACCACGTCGTCGATTGAGATAACTACCCTTGGCCGTGGCCGCGGTCCGGAAGGCAGCCGCACCGCGGGGGCGTCCAAAGCGACACGTGGCGGCTTGGCGGTCAAGGCGATGGCCGTCGAGATGGCGAGTGAAGAGTTGCTAACGACCCCCTGCCGGGCCCAGGCCGGGCCAGGCCGCCAGGACGCCAGGCCGGGCCACGCGCTGCGCGCGCCCACAGCCAGCAGTCCGACAGACGACGCACTGCGGACGCCGCCTTCGGCACTGTTGCGACGTCCCCGCGCTCCGTTTCCGTTCTCCGCCCGCCCACTTTTTCGACTTGCCCGTCCTTTCCGGAGATCGGCAGCTCGCGGCGACGCACCCACACGGCGGTTAATCGGAATGACTTGAAAGTCGCTCCACCCGCCCCGACAACATCCTGGGATGCTTTACCGAGACATGGCGGGGGAGCGGTCGCTTCCGGCCTCCAGGGCCTACACTGCCAATTAGAACGCCAAAGAGCGACCCCGCCTCATCATTTAGCCCCCAGCCGTGTCGGTCCGTCGGCCCATCGGTCCGTCGGTCGGGCTGCCCGCGGCCACATTTGTCAGCGACCGAAATGTGGCACCCCACCCTGCCCCGCGCGCCCCACCCCGCCCCGCCCCACCCCGCCCCGCCCCGCCCCACCCCGCCCCACCCGCCCACCCCGCCCCGCCCCGCCCACGGGGCCAGGCAGTCGCGCCCTCCTTGGCCTGCCGTGGGACCACGCTGATGCTATGCTAATCCTTCGCCGCCAGGGTCCAGAAGTAACACCGGGGGGTCGCTTCCAACTACTCTTTATTCAGCCTGTATAGTATTATTTTAATTTCTTTCTTTAAATTTACAATTGTTTAAACACACAGTATACACCAAACCAAAACACAGTGAAGAAGAAGCGCCGCACTTCATGGTGACGTCATCCCGTCGCACAGTGACAGTGGGCCAGAAGACCGGTGGGGGCGGCCAAAACTCTGGACGCGCTCTGAGCTCCAGAGTAGATAAACAGGACTCGAGCCGAACGCGTGTAGCGACTCTGGAGATCCAAACGCGTCTCGAATTTTGGCCGCCCCCACCGGTCTTCTGGCCCACTGTGCGACGGTGGGGGTGGGGAACACTAGTTTTCGCTTAGGCCCTTGCGTTGCTCGGGACGAGGATGAAGCTGAGTGAAAGTGTACTTTTTTCCAGCGAGTTTTCGTAGAACTTTGCGAGTTAAGTACAGTCACTCTCAGCGTGTGGTTGTGAATCCGTGCGAACGCGAAGCGCTTACGACGCACTGCCTGAGTATTTAGTATTTACCGAGTATTGCTATACGAGTATACACCGGGCTACTAAAGTAAAGGTTAGGCGAGCTCAAAGTGTATTTACATCACTTGCCACATTCCAGTCCGACGACAAAGGGTGTAGTTACTGAAGTCACATAAATGTACTATAGAATATAAGAATTACCCAGAGACCATATTTCTTACATCTCAAGAATTAGGAACTAGCAGGAAAGACTCGATTTAAAAGTCTTCCTCAATATACTTGCGGATATAACTTATCAGATGATTACAAAGTACTCATCACAAAACGCGCCCTAAAAATCCCGCCAGGATTTGCAAACAACACGAAGTCCTTAGTAGAAACCATGCTACAAATGTAACTCCACCATATGAAGAAAGTTGAAGAAATAATTCAAAACGTCGAACCACAGTAATGAAGAGAGACTTGTCGAAAAAAGCAAATGGTGACGAACACGGCGGGGATGGGGATCGCCGGCAGCACTTGGAAGTTACAAAAATAGAACGCACACTTTCACAGCGACGAAAACGAAACCGAAGCAGGAGCACTGCAAACTTCCTCCCGCGAGGCCGTCTTCCGTCTCCGTCTTGTCCTCCTGTCTTCGGGCGTCTGTCGCGGATCGTGTATTCGTCTCTCTCCGTCTTCGCTGACCCGAAACTTGTCCGGCGCGACCGGCCGCGCGTTAATGAGTAGCGGTGCGCGCGAGCGAGTCCGGGCCAGTGGGGCCGCCGGTAGCTCTCTCGCACTCGTGGGGCGTGCCGTAGGGGTGCGAGAGTGAGGGGGCGCGACCAAACGACTGCTTGGCTCGGAAGGGAGGCCGCCGCCGGCCGCGCGGCACGCGACATGCCCGTCGACGAGAAGAGCCCCACCAGCCTGGAGTCCTGGAATCCTAGGGTCCTGGATTCCTGGGAGTCCTAGAGCCCTAGAATCCTGGAGTCCTGGAGTCCTGGAGTCCTGGAGTCCTGGAGTCCTGGAGTCCTGGAGTCCTAGAGCCCTGGAAGGCCGCCTCCTCACTTCCGGCGGCGGTAGCAGGCCACGGCGTTGAAGTAGCACCGCCAGTACACGCGGCCCTTGGCGTTGCCGCCCCGCCGGTGGAGGTCCATCTGCAAAAAATATCCAATTTCTTAACTTAACACAATTACATATTTGGGGGGAGATTTTTTTTTTGCAAAAATTTAACAGTGCTTCTATGATTCACTGGACCATCGGCACTCTGAACGCCTCCCTATTTTCATCACCCGATTCTATTCAGCTGTCTTCTATTCTACATTGTGGGCCTATTTGGGCCTATTTTTGTTTTTGTAGTGTGTGCATTAAAGTTGTACCCGAATGCTGCTTCGCCCTTTGTCCTCGCGCACACAGAGGCGTGGCGTGGCGTGGCGCTCAAAGAAGCGTGAGTGAGAGAGGGAGGGAAGGCGGTGCGTGTCCGCGCGCCAGAGATGCCTCGCTGGGACTCGCAAGGCCGCGGCCGGGTGGCCGAGAGGCGCGTCGTGTTTGTCGTTGTTGTACTCCATGGCATTGGAGTACTATCAAACCTGCCGCGGTTCGTCGTGCCAACCACCTCTATTTTGCGTGTTCTGTAGTAACAGTGGGCCGCAGCGCCGCGTCGTCACCTCTCCGTCCACCGCCGCTCCATCCATCGGCAGCAGCCCCAAGCAGCCCTCGGGCCATTAGTGATAATGTGCTAACCGTATTTAACGGGCCAGCAGCGCCAAGACGGCCCGCCCGCCCCGCCGAGGCAGGCAGCATCATCAGCACACTCACACACACACACACACACACACACACACACACACACACACACAAGAGAGGCAGAGAGAGCTGCAGGCTGCTGCAGGGCCGCGGCCTTGACTCACCCTGTCGTCCGGCGCCACGGCCTTGAGTCCGTCGCGGGCCGGCGCGTTCCCGTTGACGGCCTTCTCCAGCGTGCCGAGCAGGCGGTCCAGCATGATGGCGGAGCGCTTCTCCGGGGCCATGCGGGGCACGATCATCTGGAGACAAGGAGGAGGCAATCAGAATGACGAGGAACCAATCAATCAATCAGGAAGCGGGACGCAGAGTCGTCATCTCCGGCGGCAACGGCGTCGCGGCGCGTCGCGGTGGGCGGGCGTGGAGGCCGCCGCCAAAAAGACCAAACCAGCGCCGGAAAAGCACCGCGCAGCGGCACAGCCTGTGTTCCTCGCAGCCACCCGGAGAAGCAGTCCTCGTCGATTCAAAAAAGAAGAGAAAACAGAACACCCCGTTGATTTGTTTCGACTTCAATGAGGCAATCTGTCGCCATGAGCCGAAGCCGAGGCCGGGGTCCGACTGGTTTGGCGACGCCCCCGCGGCCCGCAGCCGCCCCCGCGACGGGACGGCCGGGGCGCTGCGTGTGTGACTGAGTCACTGAGTCACGGACTGAGTGCGCACCGACATTTTTGCCGCACGCCGCACATGTCAAAGGGAGCATGGCATCCCGCTCGCACTTATTTCTGTTTTTATCTCGGGTCTCTACACACACACACACACACACACACACCGGGGCGGCCGGGGCGCGCTGCGCACAGCACTGGCCGGCACTGCCGGACCGAGCCGGGCGTGGGGGGCGTGGGGGGCGTGGGGGCGCCGAGCGCGGGGTGGCGCGGGGGTGCATGGAGTGTAAGCACGCGTTAGTCAGCCATAATGCAAAAGTTGAGTCGCCCTCTCTCCTCCCCACTGTTAAAATGGCCCATTCAGCACCGCCCTCCCCGCCGCCACTCCTTCAGGATACCCCCTCACCCTCCCCCTCTCCCACGGCCTGCTGCTACTGCCCAGAAACCGATTCTCCACACACTCCACACGCTCTCAGACACACACAGACACTCATAGACAGACAGACAGACAGACAGACAGACAGACAGACAGACAGACAGACAGACAGACAGACACACACACACACACACACCGTGCGGTTTCCTTGCGCGCAGACCTCCGCGTGTCGAGGACCGCGTGGCCGCGAGGGGGATTGGCATTACAACCAACCAGTGGGCAATAAAAGCAAGCGTTCGCGAGAGAAAGACAGATTAGGGCGAAGCGAAGGCACATCAATTCTTTATTTCGGCCGGAAAAGTTCCACTCGGGGTTGTTGCTCCCGGAGGAAGCCGCGTGAAGGCGGCGATAAAAAAAAACGAAATATAAAAATATGGGAAGGTAAATGGTTAGAGTAGTTTGTAATGTCGGACAGGGCCGCCCCCAGCGCCGCCCCGGGGTCCACGGACCGTCCATCGGCACGACAGGCCCGACAGCGGCAAAGCTGCGACAAACGACTGGGCGGCCGGCCGCTCATCCTTCTTGTCCGCCCCGGGCCGCCAGGCCGCCCGCAGACTCTCGTCGCCCTGTCTCTCTCGCACTCATGAACGCCCCCTACGGGTGCGAGAGAGACAGGGCGACGAGAAAGACTCTCGGAAGCAGTCCGCACAGCAGCCACAGCGAGGCGTCGACGCGTCAAACTCCGCCGCACTGAGCGCCACTCCGCCGCCAAGCAATGGGATACACGACGTTTATAATATTTTCAGACGGCTGCTATTAAAAATGCACCCACTGAAAGGAAGAGAGGGAGGAGAGGGAGGGGAAACACCCCGCGAGAGTGGCGGAGGCGGTCCTCTTCGGCGGCGTCGAGCGGCGGGGCGGCGACGCGAACATCGGCGGGGCGGTGGCGGCGGTGGCGGTCTTCCCCGAAGCACCACTTGGCGGCTTGGGAGGCGCGAGCCGCTGCGCCGCCGCCGAGTGGGAGGGATAGAGTGGTCTGCCGTGACCGGGCGTCGCTGGGCGTCGCTGGGCGTCGCTGACAGATGGATAGACACTCCCCGGGGAGAGGGGGCTGGTGTCAAACAGCCCCCCGCCGTACGTCGAGGAGCGGCGCGGCGTGTGCACATTCATCAAAAACGCCGGCAGTATGATCGGGGTGGCGGCGCGCCGGCCTGCAGCACTCCAGGGTGGATCCAGAGACGGGTTCAGGGGGGGGGGTCACGAAAGTTGCCTGGCTACAGGGGCAATGCCCGACTTGTTGCCTACCTTGAGGTGGGTGACACCACCACCGCGCTTGCCCCGTGGGTCCGCGCCTTCCAGCGCTATGAAGAAAATAGCACAGAGGGCAGCGGGCCGTGCGGGCGGCGCCGCAGCCAGTAGGCCAACTATGTGGAGCAATCAGCGGCCGGGCAGTCGCTCTCTCGCACACACTGGCAGACGCACCGCGCACGCATTGCTAGGAGTGCGTTGACGGTCGGTCCCTCATATCGAGGAGAGGAAGAGAAGGGCCAGCAGGCAGGCGCCTTTGGTGACGCGGACGGAGGGGCTGCGATCTTACCGGCAGGGGATTACTCCCTTCTGGCCCGCCCCGCCCCGCCTCATCAAAATGTCAGGAAGGCTCGGGGGATGAAGTGCAATCCCGCGGGCATTACGGGGCCCTGGTGCGTCGCGGGGGCGTGTCTCCCCGACGCCCCGACGGTGCCGACACGGCTGCTGTGTCCATTTCGGAGTCTTTCGAAGTCGCCCCCGACTTCCAATCCTTCCGAGCAGCCCACGAGACTACGGCGGCCGCAGAGTCATCGCTGTCTCTCTCGCACTTGAGGGGTGCGAGGGAGAGGGCGCGACGAATCGCTCCACGCGTGTCGTCCACCCCCGCGGCGCCACAGCACGCGATTAACGCCGTCTCGGGGGAGGTGCCGCGCGCCTCGGATTTCGACAGACCAAAAATATTTTTAAAAAATGAAAAAATGGGGAAACGAAACAAAAGAAATCTGCGCACGGAAGCGGATGTCGAGACGCGAGACGCGACACGAGACGCGCTGTCTGGCGGCGACGGCGCGGGGACGCCTGATGGCAAGCCTGATGGCGTGTCGGATCGAGTGTCGACGGGTAGGGTAGCGCGGTGTGGACGTCCCGCCACGCCCCGCGCGGCGCTGGCGGTGCCAACGACTTCTTGAGCGGCCGCCGCCGGCCTCGTACAGTGGGCCAGAATACCGGTGGAGGCGGTCAAAACTCGGAGCTCCAGAGTCGCTAAATGGTGGTCGAAATCCATTGGTGGGGTCACACGTTCGGTTCGAATCCAATTTAGCGACTCTGGAGCTCAAAACGCGTCTAGAGTTTTGGCCGCCTCCACTGGCCTTCTGGCCCACTGTACCTCGCCGCCGGTGGCTTCGGAGCGCGGTCCGGAAACCGCGGTGGGAACCGCATCGTTACATTTCCATCCGAGAAAACAATAACAAATTTCTGGCGGATGCTGCTCGCGCTCTTCGGGAGGCGGGCTGGACTAATCCCCGGCGTGCCAGCCGCAGGCAGCCGCAGCCCCGCGCCCACCACGCCCACGCGCAGCAGCAGCAGGCCAAGCGTCAGATTGAGAAAACAAACGCGAAAACAAAACAACAACACAGCAAAACGACACAACTCGAGATGACTGCCGCGTATCGCATGCTCCGGCGCACTCTGGCCAAATTACCCCGAGCACGTCGTCGAGCACGTCGAGGAGGCCGAGGGGCCCGACGGCGGTTTGTCGAGAGGTTCCGCACAGAAACAATGCCGGGTTATCAGCCCTCTCGGAATGGATGCATAGCAAATGTGGGCGCGCGTGTGTGGGGGTGGGGGCGGGGCGGGGTTCGTGCCGGAGGCAGTTGCAATCTATACAATACGCATTCTAAAGCGGAGGCCACTGAGGGACGCCGCTCCGAAACGTTTCGAAGTTACGTCGCCGTCCTCGTGTTTCGGTGAACCGCGAGGTGCACCGGCGTGACGTCACCTCGCGCAGCGGTGCCGCGCGGTGCGGTAACGGGGGCCATTTCTGGCGCGTCGCATTCAAGAGTCGATGATTTGACGGAAACTGGGGCGAGGACGACGAGGGCGACGAGGACGAGGTCGCCGACGGGCTGGCCAATCAGACGCGGCGCGTCGCGGCGCGTGCACGCGTAATGCCTGACCCACTTCTCGGCGCGGCCGGGGCGGTGTCGCGAGTTGACGTTTTCGCGGACTGCACAGTGGGCTAGGAGGCCGGTGGTGGCGGTCGAAACTCTAAACGCGTTTTGAGCTCAAGAGTCGCTAAACAGGACTAACCGAACGTGTGACACCACCAATGGATTCCTCGTTCGGAGAGCAGTCCATTGGTGGGGTCACACGCTCGATTCGAGTCCCATTTAGCGACTCTGCAGCTCAAAACGCGTCCGGAATTTTGACCGCCCCCGCTGGTCTTCTGGCCCAACTGTGGACTGGCTCAAAGTTAGCCCAGGGTTATGTCTGCCAGTCTGCCCCAACGATGCTCTGTCCCGCTGCGCTGCGGCGCCGCGAGACGCAATGGGGCCGAATGGGGCGCCCCCGGCCAACGGCAAGGCCCACACGAAGTACGACGCACCACTACACGACGCTGTGGCCTGGCCCGGCCTGCCCGGGGGTATTTCGGGTGGCGACCGTTACGTACGTGTTCATGTCGTGTCCCGCCCCCGGCCGCCCCTGGCTGCCCCTGGCTGCCCCTGGCTGCCCCCGGCTGCCCCCGGCCCTGGGCGCTGGGGCCGGCACAAGGCCCGCACCCCCACAGCCCGCCCGGTCACCTCTCGGCTCAGCGCGCAACGCGGCTGCTAAATCAACTGTGCCCGGTCGCCGGCAGTCGCCGGCCAACCCCCGCCCCGCGTCAATGTTCCTCTCAACGGGACTGCCTCAAGTGCTGGGGCCCCGGAGCGTAGCTGAGCCCCATGCTAATCCCTGTATGCCTGCCTGCCAGCCCTGCCTGCCCGGCTGCCCGGCCGTCGCCGTATGCCTGCCTGCCAGCGCAGGGGCTGTCCGGCGCGGGCGGCCTCTCCGCCAATCCAGGAGTTTAGGGCGCCGCCTGTAGGCGCTGCCGGCGCTGCCTGCCATTAATTTTATTTGCAGAGGAGGGTAGGCGGGGCACGGGGCGAGGCCCTCCGCTGGTGGAGGCTGGTGCCCACGGGGAGGCGCGCCACCAAACGGGGTTCAAAGTCTAAGCATAAACCAAATTTGACATCAGCTCGTCTTTTAGAAAAATCGCTTGGACCATGCTCTTGGCTTGATTTAGAAGGTTGGCCCGGCTCCGCCACTGTTAACGGTAACGAGGGCGCCGAGAAAGAGGAAAAGAGAGCCGGGGAAGGAGACATATAAATTTGGGCACGTGCCTGAAACAAGATCGGTGCGCTGCAGCCATGTGTCTTGAGCGGAGCGAGTGCGGGGCGCGGGGTGCCTGGGCAGAATTCGCAAAAAAAAGTCCCATTCACCGACTCTGGAGCTCAAAACGCGTTTAGAGTCTTGACCGCCTCCACCGGTCTTCTGGCCCACTGTGCAACAGCCCAGTTTGTTTATTCCTTCTTCGCGGTAGTCCACTTCCGGCCAGCGCAACTTCGAGGCAGGGATTGGGGCGTCCGCGATTAGGGCCTCGCTCGGGGCGTCGGGGACCTCGAAGGGGCCTCGGTGCCTCGGGGACTGCAGCGCCACTGCCCGCCATTAGGCTAGGCTGGCTAGGCTTTCGGCTCTCCGCTCGGCTTTCCGCCTTCGCCCTCTCAGTCGCCTTCGCCTTGCGGTGGGTCAGGCAGACCGGGCCAGGCAGGCCAGGTAGGCCCTCGGCACGCACAACGCGCAACAGCGTGGAGCGCGCCGCCAGCATTCCCAACCGCGCTCTCGTCGCTCTGTCTCTCTCACACACGAGGCGTGCAACAGGGGTGCGAGAGAGACAGAGCGCTCCGCTCCCCTGGTTCCCCGGACGTCCACGAGTTTTCCCAGGCGTGGTTCCGCGCGCCGCGGCTCGCCCACGCTCCACGCACCGCCCACTATGAAAAATGCAGCGGCACACACAGCAGATAGAGGCAGAATTGGTTGGCGCAACTTTAGAAAATTGTTGATTTTGGGTCTGATTGCCTTTTTTAGGAGGGGGAGTGAGGGTGGCTGCGGGGGTGTGCTAGGTCGTTCGGACAGCATAGGGGCAGCAGGAGGCCTCTGGGGGTGACCATCAGCCATCGGCAGGGGCAGGACCCACATGGAACACAGAGACTCAGACGCAAACGGGATAATTCCACCGAAAACACCTATCCTCTACTTTGAACTCGCACTGGAAGCGTTTCAAAAACAATTGGTCCGCACCTAAGCACATGAGCGACATTATAAAAATGTCGTCTGCTGATCAATCGTTTGATAGGAGCTGTATGTTTTTGACTGTTTGTGTCTGTGTGTGTTTGTGTGTGTCTGTGTGCGTCTGACAGTGTCTGTGTTTGCTTGCAAGAGAGTGTGCGTGACCGTGCGTCCCATGTCCGGGGCGAGGGGCGAAGGGCGGCGGGGAGGGGGATGTTTATAAAACGGAGAGCGTCCATGTGATCCGTGGAAGTGAATATAATTATTGCAGAATGAAAGCGAATGAAACGAAAATGCGAATGATTGAGCCGAGAGTAAACAGTGTGCTCCGCTCCACTCCGACCCGCGCCGCGCCACGGCCGCACGGCGAGCTCGGCGATCGCCCTCGAGACCATCACCACCGCGACCAAACGGCGATATTTTTAAACATTTCCATTCAAGAGATCCACCACGGTGTCGGGCTGCGGGGGCGTGGAGGCGGGGGCGGCACGTGACGTGGTGTGGCGAGGCACGGCGTGGCACGGCACGGCACGGCACGGCAGGGCAGGGACTCAGATTGATGCAGTAACAGGATTGTGACCCCGGTTAGCGCCTGGAGGGTAGGCCAAGTCCCGGCACCTCCGCCGTGCGGGTTGCCTACCTGCTCGATTACAGGGGCTCCGCCTGGGCAGCCCGCGGCGCGGAGGGAGCTGGGAGGCGGCGGTCCCCGACACGCAGCACGCCGAGGTGCGCGGGGACTGGGACGCCCCTCGGCCTCGGCTTGGCGAAACCCCGCGAGACACTCGTCGACCAATTACCCCGGCAAACGAACTTGGAACCTCCGCTCGACGGACACTCACCGGGTACTCGTCGTAGCGGCTGCTGTAGTCCGTGTCGTCCTGGCCGGCGAGGTCCTGGCGCGCCACCAGGTTGGCGGCGGGCCCCACCAGCCCCAGGGCCTGCATGGCGCGCTTGCCGACGAGCGGGAGGTCGTCGTCGTCCTGGCCGACGAAGGGCAGCGCCAGGCCGGAGCGGCCGTTGCCGAGTCCGAGGCCCAGGCCGTCGGCCGCGTGGCTCTTGAGCAGCCCCATGTCGGGCGCCGCGGGCCTCGGGGTGGCCGACGGCAGCGCCAGCAGCAGCAGCACCGCCGCCGCCGCCACGGACACCGTGCTGGACAGCATGCTGGAGACCGTCATGGCCAGGCCCTTCCTGCGTTGTCTCCGCGCGCCGCGCACCCTGGTCGCTTTATGTCTTGTGGCTCCAGCCAGCGTCCGCGCCGCGCCGCCTCGCCCGCCGGGCTCGGCAGCGCGCCTGCGCACTGGAGCGCGCGCGGCGCGGGACTTTCGAACGCGGGCGGCTCGCGGACACACGCCATTCCACCGCCACCTGCCCCCCCCCCCCTCGCCCCCGGCAGCGCGGCGCGCATTTTCAGATCCCCAGCTCGAAGCAGGGCTGGACAGCCTCCATGCAACGCAGTCTCATTCCGGTCGCAAGGGCGCCGCGGCACTCTGCGTCCGCAAATTAAGAAAAAGAGAAGCTTCTTTCTTTTCGCTGGCCTTGATGATGACGTCATCGACTGCAGCGTCGGGGCTTTCTGGCCCTTAACCCGCAGCGGCTGGCAGGGCGGGCAGGGCCCTTGGCGCTGACATTCAAACACGCCATCTCCGCTCTCCGTGGCGCGCGGTGCTGGCCGTGCTGGCCGTGCTGGCCGTGCTGGCGGCGAAGGCGAACCTCATTGGGAGCCGGCCGCCGTCCGCCGCGTCAGAGAGGCCGCTTCGCATTCTTACTTCCAGGCCATTTATTTCCTAACGGCTGCGGTGGTGACGAACCGGACGAGCCGCGAGGCGAAACGGGGAGGGGGCGTCCACGACCGCGCCCCGCGCCCCGCTCTGTCTCGCGCGTTCGCTCTCCCTCCGAGAGTCGCTTTCGTCGCTCTGTCTCTCTCGCACTCATGGGGCGTCCCGTGTAGGTGCGCGAGAGACAGGGCGACGACAGTCAGTCTGCAGGACGGCGTCGACGGCGAGGGCGGCACCCCAGGTCAGGCCCGCGCCTCGTACGTCACACGACGCCAATGCCGCGCGCCGGCCGTGGCGCTCCCCGCCCGAGTGGATTACGAGCCTGAATAGCGCCCATCAGTGGCGCGATTGGGCCCGTCGCGCTGTCTCACTCGCACCCCTACGGCCCTGCGGCACGCCGCGCGAGTGCGAGAGAGACAGAGCGACTGTTCGGAATCGGCCGGCGAGCAGATACAGCGAAAAAGGGAGGCGGCCTCTTCGGCTCTCCCTCTCGGTGGGGCGCGCCCGGGCGGTCGAGCGTCGTGCCGAGTCGTGCCGACCTGCGGACTGAGCGGCCGCGTCGCTCTGTCTCTCTCGCACTCACGGAGCGTGCCGTGGGGCCGTAGGGGTGCGAGGGAGACAGCGCGACCGGGTGACTCTTCGGACTCGCACGCCTCGCCTCGACGTATCCACGAGAAGCAGGCGTAGTCTGTGGAGCGCCCCGCAAGAAAAGGCGGATCTGGGAGCCCAGAAGAAGGGCGGATCCGTTTTTGATACCACAAAAAGGGCGGATCCACTTGGTCGGTTTTTTGAGACTATACAAAATCCTTACTTTCTGAAACGTATTTTTAACAAATCTCAAAATCGACCAAAAAGTTGGATCCGCCCTTTTTGTGCGGTATCAAAAACAGATCCGCCCTTCTTCTTGGGCCTCCCACAGATCCGCCTTTTCTTGCGGTCGCTCCACAGATACGCCTGTTCTACTGGGATACGTCGACTGTGCTGTCAATTAGAAGCGCGGCGGCGGCGGCAGCGCTCACGATTGGCTGGTAGAAAGGAAACGCGGACGTCGACAGACAAACATCGACGACAACGATGTCGTCGACGACGAGTCTCGAACGTACTCCCTTTTCAGATGCGGCGGCTCCACACTGGAAGGGGAGAGGGGGGGCAGCAGGCTGATTCTGAACAGCGCGCTTTCGTTCACTCCGCCTCGCTCGCGCTCATGGGGCGTCCCGCAGGGTCCGCAGTGGTGCGAGAGAGACGGGGCGACGGGCGGGCAGCGGCCTGCAGTGTCGTGCGGAGGGAAGCCGGAAATTGTTTCTCCTCCACATTAGTGCTGATGAAGCGGCCATAGCGCCATAAGGCCACAGCGCAGCGCCACGCCACGCCATCAATCAGATTGCCTTGCCTGCCAAAAGCTTTCTCCCCCGGTGCACGGCGCGTTGTCCAATCATCGCCTTCCGTCGTCCCCCTTCCCCCAAAAAACAAAAAAAAAAGAACCCTGCATAATAAATAGAACACTTTGAAGTTTGTTTTTGGGCTCTACCTGGCATAATAAAGGATATTTTCACTTGAATCCGAAAACCGGCACAGAGAACAATTTAAATATCAGCGCACACGCACGCATTCCCACGGCTGCTATGCTTTCGTAAGAACCGTATCATTCAACGATCCAAAATGTTGGTCCGCCAGCATTCAATTGAATCGCACCGCCGGCACCCAGCACCACCGCCACCACAGCACTGAAAAAAAAAGCAACAAAGAAAAAAGAAAAGAGAAAGGCGTTTCGCCTCGCGAAATGGCGCTCGTTCGACTAATGAATGCAAATGTGGAGCAAATACGATGCGGTTCGAGCGATCCGCCATCCAAGTCCACGCCAGACTGCAGACTGATTCCGAGAGTCGTCGCTCTGTCTCTCTCGCACCCGTGCGGCGTCCCCTGCAGGTGCGAGAGAGACAGAGCGACGAAGACGACCCTCGCGGAATCAGTCTGCTGCGTGGGCGCGCCTCGCGCCTCCCGCCGCCGCGCGTCGTCTCATCCGATTTCGAGGAAGATTTCGAGCCGAGATCTTTGGACGGCGGCAGCGAGGCAGTAGTCGCACAGTGCAGCTCCACGGGCAGAGGGGCTGACTGGGGACTCAAGTACACTGTAAAAAAATGAAATGTCAAAAAGTCCCGAGCACTTACATGAATGTTTTTCTTCTTTTTTTTGTTTGGGCGAGTATTGGTTGCGAGTCTGGTACAGGGCCAGCACGGCCGCAGCGCCTAGCTGGTGTAGCTGGTGTAGCTGGTGTAGCCCCAGACGACGAGGGTGTCGCCACCAAGTTCCTTACCCCGGCCACCCGGACGCGTCCTGCAGTGACCGGCCAACAAGGGTGGGGGCAGGGCAGGCCGGGGAAGGCCGGGGCAGGCCCAGCAGGGCGTTAAGTGGTGCTGCAGTGCTTTTGTTATGGCGACATGAGAACAGCCTCAGGCATCGGCCCGGGCATCGAGCCCTGTGTGCCGCGGCCTCGCGACGGGGGAAAGGTAGGAAGGGAAAGAGGAAGAAGAAGAAGAGAGAGAGCGGTCGGTGTGGGGCGTGGGGTACGCCCGGTACGCCCCCGCAATCAGGATGACGGCCACTGGGGCTTCCCCACGTGTTGCGTCGCTGCCCTGCTGGGCCCGCCCCGCCCCGCCTCGCCCCGCCCCGCCTGCCCTAGCAGCACTCCGACTGACAGGGCGCGGTGCAACCACTGGACGTGACTGGAGCGACAGCGCTGGACAACTGGAGTGGAACAGCACGGCACGCCACGCCACGCCACGCCACAGCTCGTCATTCCTTCGCATTCCCCAGGCCTTTGGCAGCAGAAAAACAACCTGCCCGCGCAAACTCGAGCCGGCAACAGAAAAATACCGTCTCCACAAACGGTGGGTATCTACTCTGGGCCCGTGCCGTTCCTTCCTATAAGTATTATGTGCAGTGCAGAACCTCATTTTTCCGTTTCCATTACGAGCTCCCACTCCTCCCTCGCCCACTCCCCCCAAAAAAGAAGAAAACGGAAAGCTTTTAATTGACCTTTTGTGAATGGTGTTGGCTCTGATTGTGGGCCGTGCTGCTGTCGCTGCTGTCCGGGACGGTCCGACGGCGAGCCAGGCCATGGCCAGGCCGAGCCTGGCGGAGCGAGGACGGATGAGGGCAAGGTTGGGTCGCCGCCGCCCGGCCATACGTCAATGTGCGCCTCTCTCCTCGATCAGCGGACTGATTCCGAGAGTCGCTTTCGTCGCTGTCTCTCTCACACTCACGGGGTGTGTCGCACAGGTGCGAGAGAGACAGAGCGACGAAAACGACTCTCGGAATCAGTCTTGTGGGGGTGCTCGACGTCCTGGCGGGCGGTGGCGGTAAGTCGAGGCACGTGCCGGACCGTGGGTGGCCGCGCGCCGCAGGGCACCGCCACCACGACGTCGACGTCAACGAGGAGGACGCCGACGAGCACGAGACCCCCAACGACGGCGACAGCCCCGGTCCCTGCGAGCCCGATCTGCCTGGAATAAACCAACGGTAATCATGAGACCGCCTGATGCGTCGCTGCGGCGCACCGCACCAGCGGGGGCACGTGTAGCACAGCACCCCCGACCCGAACCGCCGCCGCCACCCGGGGGCCGGCCGGTAGCCACACATTTCCACGACGCACCAGTGTCGAAAGGAGAGTTCGTGTCACAACACTGATGACGCGCTCGACGCGCACCTCCTGTTCGCCCTATTCCTGGACGCCTGGCGGCGACACTGCGTCGCAGTGCTGCGCGCCGCTAAGCCGCCCGTTTTATTCCCGTCTCTCTCTTCTTTCTCTCCTCCAGCTGCATCGGCGCGGCTCGGCTGACGGAGGCGTTTGTAAGCCGCTGGTGTGGGCGGGTGATGGAGCTTGGCTGGAGGCGCTATATTAGCCGGGCCAACACGATGACACGGTCCGCGGGGGCGGCGGGGCCGCGCTGGCTCTTTGAGGCGGGGGCGGCGGGGGCGGTCAGCCGCCTACTGCTGCCACCCGAGCCGTGGACGGTGGCGGTGGTGGCCGAGGCCGCCGACGGCGTTGTTTTGGTGGCGGTCGTGTTTTTCGGCGCGCGCCGTCGCGGCCGTCCCGCATATCGGCAGCACATCTCCGCGCCGCCATGAGGGCTGCGACGCCGGACGGCGGGCCCCCTCTGACACGAACACAATCAACCCCTGCTTGTCCCCAGTCAACAAACACCCATGAGTTGACGTCGTGGCGCCCGCGGCCGCGCTGCACATTGACATATTTACGTCGCGGCCCGTGATGTGGTTTGCTCACAGCCCGTCCG